TTTTTCCCACCCACCTTTTCATTGGCGTTGTAGCTACTGAGAGGTTTTGGTCTGATACAGGAGTTCCCAGCTAAGCCCTCCTACAGTAAATAAATGTTAAGTTTTACATTAGGATAAATTGATTACACTTCATATATATAATTTGCTAGTACTCTATCTAATCTAATTAAAAATACGTACAACGTACTTGGCCACAAAAAGAAACTCAGTAAATTCAGAAAGATTGAAATCGTGCCAGCCAGCTTCTCAGACCCCAAAGGTATGAAACTAGAAATAAATTATGCAAAGAAAGCAAAAAAGCCCACAAACATGAAGGCTTAACAACATGCTGCTAAATAATCAATAGATCAATGACCAAATAAAAACAGAGATCAAGCAATATATGGAGACAAATGAAAACAACAACTGAAAACCGCAAAACCTGTGCGCCGTAGCAAAAGCCCTTCTAAGAGGAAAGTGTATTACAATACAGGTGTACCTCAAGAAAGAAAAACAACCCCAAAAGACAAATCTAAACTCACAATTAGTGAAACCAGAAAAAGAAGAACAAATAAGGCCCAAAGTCAGTAGAAGGAGGGACATAATAAAGATCAGAGCAGAAATAAATAAAATGGAGAAGAATAAAACAATAGCAGCAATGAAACCAGGAACTGGTTCTTCAAGAAAATAGACAAAGTACATAAACCCTGTAGCCAGGCTTATGAAGAAAAAAAGAGTGGATACGCATAAACAGAATCAAATTACAAAGGAAAAATCACTATGGACACCACAGACATACAATTATTAGAAAATATATGTGAAAAATTATATGCTAACAAATTGGATAACCTAGAAGAAATGGGGAAAACTTTCTAGAAATATGCAACCTTCCAAGACTGACCTAGGAAGAAACATAAAATCTAAAAAAATCAATTGCCAGCAGTGAAATTGAACTGGTAATAATAAAAAATCTACCTAAAAATGAAACCTGGACCAGATGGCTTCACCGCTGAATTTTATCAAACATTAGTGAAGACGTAATACCCATCCTCCTTAACATTTTCCAAGAAATAGAAGAGATGGGAATACTTCCAAACTCATTCTATGAGGCTAGCATCACTCTAATACCAAAACCAGACAAGGACACCACAAAAAAAGAAAATTACAGACCAGTATCCCTGATGAACATAGATCCAAAAATCCTCAACAAAATACTAGCAAACCAAATTCAAAAAAACATAAAGATTATGCATCATGATCAAGTAGGATTTACTCCAGGGATGCAAGGATGGTACAATATTCAAAAATCCATCAACATCATGCACCACATCAACAAAAAGGACAAAAATCACATGATCATCTCAATAGATGCTGAAAAAGCATTCAACAGAATTCAACATCCATTCATGATAAAAACACTCAAAATGGGTATAGAGGACAAGTACCTCAACATAATAAAGGCCATATATGACAAACCCACAGCCAACATCATGCTTAACAGTGAGAAGCTGAAAGCCTTTCCTTTAAGATCGAGAACAAGACAAGAATGCACACTCTCCCCACTTTAATTCAATGTAGTTCTGGGGGTCCTAGCCACGACAATCAGACAACACAAAGATATAAAAGCCATCCAGATTGGTAAGTAAGTTAAACTGTCACTGTTAGTAAATGACATGATATTGTACATAAAAAGCCCTAAAGAATCCACTCCAAAACTACTAGAACTAATATCTAAATCCAGCAAAGTTGTAAGATACAAAATTAATACACAGAAATCTGTTGCATTCCTGTACACTAACAATGAACAAGGAGAAAGAGAAATCAGGAAAACAATTTCACTCACAATTGTGTCAAAAAAAATTAAATACCTAGGAATAAACCTAACCAAGGAAGTGAAAGACCTATACCCTGAAAACTACAGGACACTCATGAGAGAAATTAAAGAAGATACCACTAAATGGAAACACATCCTGTGCTCATGGATAGGAAGAATTAATATAGTCAGAATGGTCATCCTGCCTAAAACAATCTACAGATTCAATGCAATTCCTATAAAAATACCAACAGCATTCTTCAACAAATTAGAGAAAATCATTCTAAATTCATACGGAACCACAAAAGACCCTGAATAGCCAAAGCAATCCTGAGAAGGAAGAATAAAACTGGGGGATTATGCTCCCCAACTTCAAGCTCTACTACAAAGCCACAGTAATCAAGACAATTTGGTACTGGCACAAGAACAGAACCATAGTCCAATGAAACAGACTAGAGAGCCCAGATATAAACCCAAGCATATATGGCCAATTCATATACAATAAAGGAGCCATGGACATACAATGGGGAAATGACAGCCTCTTCAACAATTGGCGTTGGCAAAACTAGACAGCTACATGTAAGAGAATGCAACTGGATTATTGTCTAACCCCAAACACAAAAGTAAACTCAAAATGGATCAAAGACCTGAATGTAAGTCATGAAACCATAAAACTCTTAGAGGAAAACATAGGCAAAAATCTCTTGAATATAAACATGAACAACTTTTTCCTGAATGTATCTTCCCGGGCAAGGAAACAAAATAAAAAATGAACAAGTGGGACTGCATCAAGCTAGAAAGCTTTTGTACAGCAAAGGACACCATTAACAGAACAAAAGGACATCCTACAGTATGGGAGAATATATTTGTAAACGACATAACCAACAAGGAGTTAACACCCAAAATGTATAAAGAGACTTACTCGCCTCAACCCCCAAAAAGCAAATAACCCTATTAAAAAACGGGCAGAGGATATGAACGACAGTTCTCCAAAGAAGAAATTCAGATAGCCAACAGGCACATGAAACAATGTTCCACATTGCTAATTATCAGGGAAATGCAAATTAAAACCACAGTGAGATATCACCTCACACCAGTTAGCATGGCCAACAGAGAAAATGTAGGAACAACAAATGCTGGCAAGGATGCGGAGAAAGGGGAACCCTCCTACCCTGCTGGTGGGAGTGTAAATTAGTTCAAGCACTATGGAAAGCAGTATCTTTTCTCAAAAAACTGAAATAGCAATACCATTTGACCCGGGAATTCCACTCCTAGGAATTTACCCAAAGAAAACCAGATTCTGATTCAAAAAAGACACATGCACCTCTATGTTTATCACAATACTATCTACAATAGCCAAGATATGGAAGCAACCTAAGTGTCCATCAGTAGATGAGTAGATAAAGAAGAAGTGGTATATGTACACAATGGAATACTATTCAGCCATAAGAAAGAAACAATTCCTACCATTTGCAACAACATGGGTGGAGCTAGAGAGTATTATGCTCAGCGAAATAAGCCAGGCAGAGAAGGAGAAATACCAAATGATTTCCTTCATTTGTGGATCATAACAACGAAGCAAAACTGAAGGAACAAAACAGTCGCATACTCATAGACCCCAAGAAGAGACTAGGGGTTACCCAAGGGGAGGAGTTGGGGAGGGTTGGGTGGGAGGGAGGGAGAAAGGGATTGAGGGGTATTATCATTAGTACACATGGTTTGGGGAAGGTCATGGGGAAGACAGTGTAGCACAGAGAAAATAAGTAATGACTCTGTGATATCTTAACTACACTGATGGACAGTGACTTCAGTGGGGTATGGGGGGGCCACTTATAATATGGGTGAATGTAGTAACCACAACATCTTTCATGTGAAACCTTCATAAGAGTGTACATCAATGATACCTTAATTAAAAAATAATTTTAAAAACTATTTAAAAGAGTTCTAAAAAAAAGTACTATAAAAAGTTGGATATAGAAACTGTGAGTAAATAAATAAAGGATTTAAAAGGTTGCAGGTTGTGGAAATATTATTAGAACGTGTTCTAATAGGTGCATACCAAGGAGACTTCCCGAAGGATTTTATTCATGTTGGTGTTTAGTATTGCCATTGTATGGATTAAGAAACTAGTTTTGTTGCTTTCATAATTATACCTGATACAAGTGAGAATCAGTTTCCCATCTCAATAAACATACTAGCATACCCCAAAATGACAGTTTATTCCACAAAAACTAAGAGATGCATTTGGATGGGTCTGTCTTTTCTATCTTTGGACAATAGATTTCAGCTTTGTTTTTGGTCATGTTAAGAAGTCAAACTAGCCAGAAAAGAAATTGTGCATAAAGCATAGGGTGATAGAAAAAAAATTTAACTAAAGCAGAAGAATAAAGAAAAGGTACCAAACTAAAGATATCTTTGGTTGATAGTTTTTCACTGTAAGTGTAACTTACTGCATGTATACTGTTGGTTTGACTTTTTCATTTCAAGTATCATTTCATTTTTTTCTCTTCTTTATTCTCACTAAACTTAGTGTTAGGATTTATTTCAGAAAAGATTGGAGTGGCAGTATTAGTTTGAGGGGATTTTTGGAGGAGCGTATGACTAGCACTCACTGAAGATAATTATGGTGCCTTTCCTTCGAAAGGAAATAATGTTTAGCTTGAGATATTGGAATTTTTTAAACCAGTGTTTGTGTTGAGGGAAAGAAATAATGTAGGGTTACATATGTAAGTAGGTTAATCTTTTATAATTTTTGAAATCATTAATATCTAAAACTTACCTTTATATTTAAAATGCTCAGTGAATCCCTCTGTAACTCTTACTGATTGATTTTTAAAAGCATCTGTGTATTTCCTGGATGCTCTAAATTATAGAAATTCATGTTAGATAAAAGACAAATTAGGAAATCAAGTTTTGTGTATTTCACCAATTTTTTTTTTTAATCATTTGATCTACTCTCCTTTTGTTTAGAGAAGTGCCACACCTAGTTTACGGGAAAACTTAAATTACATGATGATCTGATTCCCATTCAGTGTTCTTTCCATTACTACTGTTATTCTTATGAGCTAAGATGGTAGCTAATGGATTTGTGCCTCTAAAAGCGGATAGCTCCATTCTGGTGCAAATGTTTAGCTTTCATGATAAAATTTTCATTTCTTAATGCTAGTTTTTCATTATTCAAATCTTATTTACCAAAATTTGAACTAAGTCTTTTCAGGGGTGTATATGAATGCTGTGTCATGTGCTGCTGATTTCTTCTAAGACTGAACATTCTTCACAATACGAAAGGAGAAGAGACTCATTCGGGATGTTTGACGGTTATGATAGCTGCAGTGAGGACACAAGTAGCAGCTCCAGCTCTGAGGAGAGTGAAGAAGAAGTCGCTCCTTTACCTTCTAATCTCCCGATCATCAAAAATAATGGACAAGTCTACACATACCCAGATGGTAAATCTGGCATGGGTAAGTATTTACCCATTCTTCACCTGTTACACAGCTTTATGTTTGAGAGTATGTTTTGATTCCATTTCTTCAGTATTTTCCCTTTCTTAGAATTTTTAAAGGGCAACTTGAAGAAACAGTCTAAAACTTATAGTTCTAGATAAGATCACTGGGTTTGTGTTTGATCTCTTTATTTTGCCTGCCTACCAACTTCTGGTGGAAAGCAAATAAAACAACATAAAAACAGAAGGCTGTTGAGGAACTTAATGTGGACTTAAATCCAGTAACTAAGTAAATCCCTATGGGACTGACATGTGTAGGATCGTAGACTTGGTGAAAGAGACTTGCAGGTAAGTCTCCCTCCTATTCAACAGTTCCCCATGTAAAGTTTTCTGTTTTAACACTTCCAGTGATAGGGTATTTTTAATAACCACAATATTCTCCATATTGAACCAGAGTTATCCTTGCTCTAACTTTTGTCTTTTGGTCTTAATTTTGCCTTTTAAAAGTACACAGAATAATTCTAATCCCTGTTTGGTGACACCTCTTCATGCTGGAACATGCTTAGTAAACCTGTTTGCTTCAGTGATTTCCCAGTAGTATAACAGTTATTTACTACATTAAATCCTGCTCACTTTCTTCTAGGACTACTTCCCCATTATGTGATATTAGGGAGACAACTTGTCCAGATTTGTCCAAGACTGTTCTGGTTTTAGGACCACAAGTTCCACATCTGGAAAATACCTCAGACAAATGTTTGGTCACCTCTGTAATTAGGGCAGAAGGTAGCCTTTGTCTCCCTTTTTCAGGACACAGTTTCTATTCATGTCACCAAAATTACTTCTTACTTTTTTGAATCTAGTACTGATTTTACAAATAATTGAAACCCTTTGGTCTTGACCACAGGAACTAAACCAATTTAAATCAGTCTTGTGCTTTTGCAACTATTTTTTTAAACCTCAAGGTGTAAGACCGTAACTCACTCTGTGTAACATTTTTCTTACTAAATTTCAGTCTTAGAAAATTTTGATTCCTAATTGTGTTATCTAATGTTGAATGTAGTGTCATCTAATCCTGCACTTTTATGTCATTTGCAGATTTGATAATAGGTCCAATTCTAGTCTTTTTATTAAAAAGTTGTACAGTTCAGGTCCTGGTACAGAACCTGCAGGCTATATCAAAAACTTCATTTATCAAGACCTACTAGGTGTGGTCATCCAACCAGTTAAAATTGACCTGGATGCCTGACCCAGTAATTCCAGTCCTAGAAATTTACCTGAAGAATACAAAATCCCTAATTCAAAAAGACATAAGCACCCCTATGTTTATCACAGCACTATTTACAGTAGCCAAGATGTCAGTGTCTGTCAGTAGATGAATGGATAAAGAAGATGTGCATGTTCACAATGGAATATTATTCAGCCATAAAAAGAAAAGAAATCCTGCCATTTGCAACAACATGGATGGAGATAGACGGTATTATGCTTAGTGAAATAAGACAGGCAGAGAAAGACAAATTTATCGTATGATTTCACTTATTTGTGGGATATAAAAACAAAGCAAGACAAAAGGAACAAAACAGCATCAGACTCATAGAGTCTGAGAAGTAACTAGTGGTTACCAAGGGGGAGGGGAGTGAACAGGAATGGGGAGATGGGAAGAAGGACTATTCAACCGCTGTGATGTACATATGGTAAAAAAATTTTTTTTTAATTGACGTTAAGTGTTTCCTACGGAATTTTTTCTCTATCATTACTGACAAAATTACATGAGAGATTTTATCAGGTGTGTTAACTCCTATTAGTATATACTCTTTCCATGGTTTAGTTATAACATACCAGTCTGGCAATCTTATCACAAAGGAAAATAAGGTTTATTGAAGCTTTATATATGTTAAACTCTGTTTTAAATACTAGAGATAAAGAAATGAACAATACAGAATGAAGTCCCTGCCCTGATGTAGCTTACATCCTAGAATGAGATTTCTAGTTTTATATATAATTCTTGACAAACATTTGCTATCCCCTTGGGGATCTATAACTGTTTTATCTAGGTGGTCACAACCCTTTTTAGTAATGTATTCTACAGTGTTCACAACAAAACCATTCAGTTTTTTACTTCTCTTAGACAGCCTAGTAAGTTTTTCCTACCCTTAGACAGCCTAGGAAGTTTAACCAGTAGATTAAACTACAAATCCCTCCAGTTTAGCTGTTGGGAAGAAATTTGCCATGTTACTTTGTTTTTGTTTTTCAACTTTATTGAGTAATTGATGGCTATAATTGTATATATTTAATGTGCACAGTGTAATGATTTTATATATATTGTGGAATGATTACCAAAATCAAAGTAATGAACACAGCCACCACTTCACATAGTTAAAACTTTATGGGGTGGAAGAGACCATAAGATCTACTCTCAGCAACTTTCATGCATGCAGTACAGTATCATTATCTATAGTCACCATGCTATTTATTAGATCCTCACAACTTATTCTTCTTAAAATCGAATATTTGTACCCTTTGGTCTGTATGTCCCCATTCCCCCCCCCCCCAGCTGCTGGCAGCTACTAGTTCTACCATTCTGTTCTCTGTTACTGTGACATTTTGCTTTTTTTTTTTTTTAAAGATTCCACATATAAGTGACCCTATATAGTATGTGTCTTTCTCAATCTCGCATTATTTCATTTAGCACAGTGCCCTACAGGTTCATCCCTGTTCTCGCAAATGGCAGGCTTTCTTATTTATGGCGGAATAGTATTCCATTATAATGAATAATATATGGACACCACATTTTCTTTAGCCATCTGTCAGAGACATTTAGGTGTTTCCATTTATCTTGGCCATTGTAAATAATGCTGTGATGAACATGAAAGTCCAGATGTCTCTTTGAGATACTGATTTGCAGTCATGTAAATTTTGACAGAGGCACCAAGAATACACAATAGGGAAAGGATAGTCTCTTTAATAATATGGTAAAACAATATCCATATGCAAAAGAGTGAAAATTGGATCTCTGTCTTAACATTTATTCAACATGGATTAAAAATTGAAATGTTAAGACTTAAAACTATTAAACTCCCAGAAGAAAATACTGGGGGGAAAGATCTTTAACATTGGTCTTGGCAATGATTTCTTGGATAAGGGAACAAAAGCTAAAATAAACAAGTGGGATTACATCAAACTAAAAAATTCTCCATATCAGTGGAAACAATAAATTGAAAAGGCAGCCCACAGAATGGGAGAAAATATTTGCAGACCATATATCTTATAAAGGGTTAATATCCAAATTATATAAATAACTCATACAACTCAGTAGCAAAATAGCAAATAATCCAAATGAAAAATGGGCCAGGGACATGAATGGACATTTTTCCAAGTAAGACATAAAAATGGCCAATGTGAAAGAGGTGATCAGCATTACAAATCATCAGAAATAACAAATCAAAACCACATGAGATACCACCTCACACCTGTTAGCAAGGCTGTTATCAAAAAGATAAGAGAGAACAAATACTGGTGAGGACATGGAGAAGGGAGCCCTTATACACTGTTGTGGGAATATAAATTGGTGCAAACACTATGGAAAATAGTATGGAGTTCCTCAAAAAATTAAAAATAGGACTACCATGTGACCCAGCAATCCCTATCCTGGATATATATATATATGTTTTATCTTTTTGAACTTAAATTCTTGTGATCCTTATTCTTCTAATTCTGCCTTTCAGATTATTGCCCATTATGCTAATTTACGAAAGAGGCTCGGTAGTAGAATTTTGTTTCCCTCTATAATCACTTAATAATAGGGCACCTACCTTAAGGTTTAGACCTATCCTTTCCTTCCTGTCCCATGAAGAAAACTTGAAAATATCCTTGTATTGCCCATAACATTTTTACAGGAGTTGGCCCTTTGTAGGTCTCAATCTTTTTTTTATTACAACTTTTTTTATTATGGTATTATTGATATACACTCTTATGAAGGTGTCACATGAAAAAACAATGTGGTTACTACATTCACTCATATTATTAAGCTGCCCCCCCCCATACCCGTTGCAGTCACTGTCCATCAGTGTAGTAAGATGCCGCAGAGTCACTACTTGTCTTCTCTGTGCCACACTGTCTTCCCTGTGACCCCACACACACCATGTGTACTAATCATAATACCCCAATCCCCTTCTCCCTCCCTCCCCGCCCACCCTCCCACACCCGTCCCCTTTGGTAACCACTATTCCCTTCTTGGAGTCTGTGAGTCTGCTGCTGTTTTGTTCCTTCAGTTTTGCTTTGTTGTTATACTCCACAAATGAGGGAAATCATTTGGTACTTGTCTTTCTCTGCCTGACTTATTTCACTGAACATAATACCCTCCAATTCCATCCATGTTGTTGCAAATGGTAGGATTTGTTTCTTTCTTATGGCTAAACAGTAATCCGTTGTGTATATATACCAACCACATCTTTATCCATTCATCTACTGATGGACACTTAGGTTGCTTCCATATCTTGGTATTGAAAATAGTACTGCAATAAACATAGGGGGTTGCATATGTCATTTTGAATCTGAGAACTTGTATTCTTTGGGTAAATTCCTAGGAGTGGAATTCCCGGGTCAAATTGTATTTCTATTTTTAGCTTTTTGAGGAACCTCCATATTGCTTTCCACAATGGTGGAACTGGTTTACATTCCCACCAGCAGTATAGGATGGTTCCCCTTTCTCAGCATCCTGGCCAGCATTTGCTGTTCTTAGTCTTTTCCATGCTGGCCATCCTAACTGGTGTGAGTTGATATCTCATGTGGTTTTAATTTGCATTTCCCTGATAATTAACGATGTGGAGCATCTTTTCATGTGCCTGATGGCCATCTGTATTTCTTCTTTGGAAAAGGGTCTGTTCATATCCTCTGCCCACTTTTTAATCGGGTTATTTGCTTTTTGGTTGTTGAGGCATGTGAGTTCTTTATATATTTTGGATGTTAACCCCTTGTTGGAAATGTCGTCTACAAATACATTCTCCCATACTATAGGATGCCTTTTTGTTCTGCTGATAGTATCCTTTGCTGTACAGAAGCTTTTTAGCTTGATGTAGTCCCATTTGTTCATTTTTGCTTTTGTTTCCATTGCCCAAGGAGTGTGTTCAGGATAAAGTTGCCCATGTTTATATTCAGGAGATTTTTGCCTGTTTTCTCCTAAGAGTTTTATGGTTTCATTACTTACATTCAGGTCTTTGATCCACTTCGAATTTACTTTTGTGTATGAGGTTAAACAATCCAGTTTCATTCTCTTGCATGTAGCTATCCAGTTTGCCAACACCAGTTGTTGAAGAGGCTGTCATTTCCCTGTTGTACGTCCATGGCTCCTTTATTGTTTATCAGTTGACTATATATGCTTGAGTTTATATCTGAACTCTAGTCTATTCCATCGTTCCATTGGTCTGTTCTTCTGCCAGCACCAAATTGTCTTGACTACTGTGGCTTTGTAGTAGAGCTTGAAGTCAGGGAGCACAGTTCCCCCAGCTTTGCTTTGGCTATTTGTGGTCTTTGGTGGTTCCATATGAATTTTAGAACTATTTGCTCTAGTTCATTGAAGAATGCTGTTGGTATTTTTATAGGGATTGCATTGAATCTGTATATTACTTTAGGCAGGATGACCATTTAGACTATATTAATTCCTCCTATCTATGAGCACGGGATGTGTTTCCATTTATTGGTATCTTCTTTAATTTCTCTCATGAGTGTCTTGTAGTTTTCAGGGTATAGGTCTTTCATTTCCTTGGTTAGTTTTATTCCTAAGTATTTTATTATTTTTGATGCAATTGTGTATGGAATTGTTTTTCTGATTTCTCTTTCTGCTAGTTCATCGTTAGTGTATAGGAATGCCACAGATTTCTGTGTGTTAATTTTGTATCCTGCAACTTTGCTGAATTCAGATATTAGATCTAGTAATTTTAGAGCTAAATTTAGAGTAAATTTAGGGCTTTTTATGTACAATGTCATGTCATCTGCAAACAGTGACAGTTTAACTTCTTCCTTACCAATCTGGATGCCTTTTATTTCTTTGTGCTGTCTGATTGCTGTGGCTAGGACCTCCAGAACTATGTTGAATAAAAGTGGGGAGAGTGGGCATCCTTGTCTTGTTCCCAATCTTAAAGGAAAAGCTTTCAGCTTCTTGCTGTTAAGTATGATGTTGGTCATGGGTTTGTCATATATGGCCTTTATTATGTTGAGGTACTTGCCCTCAATACCCATTTTGTTGAGAGTTTTTATCATGAATGGATGTTCGATTTTGTCTTACGCTTTTTCAGCATCTGTTGAGATGATCATGTGGTTTTTCTCCTTTTTGTTGATATGGTTGATGGATTTCTAATACTGTACCATACTTGGATCCCTGGGATGAATCCCACTTGATCATGATGGATGATCTTTTTGATGTATTTTTTTTATTTGGTTTGCTAAAATTTGTTGAATAATTTTGCATCTATGTTCATCAGGATATTGGTCTGTAATTTTCTTTTTTTGTAGTGTCTTTGCCTGGTTTTGGTATTAGAGTAATGCTGGCCTCGTAGAATGAGTTTGAAAGTATTCCCTCATCTTGTACTTTTTGGAAAACTTTAAGGAAGATGGGTATTAGGTCTTCACTAAATGTCTGATAAAATTCAGCGATGAAGCCATCTGGTCCAGGGGTCTTGTTCTTAGGTAGTTTTTTGATTACCAATTCATTTGCTGGTAATTGGTCTGTTCATATTTTCTGTTTATTCCTGGGTCAGCCTTGGAAGGTTGTATTTTTCTAGAATGTTGTCCATTTCTCATATCTTATTTAGGTCTCAATCTTTAGAGTATTTTAAAGGCTTGTGCTGCAGTTTGCCTCAGTTGAATTACACTTCTTTAAATATTTTATTTATAATCCTTCAAATACTGGAGCTCATAGCATATAAGGAAATGCCTGGCACATGGTGAGTGCTAAGGGAATACCAGTTGAATCTGACCCATGTTTGTGTGTCTTTTGACCGGTTTTAAAAGCCTTTCAAACCTTGAACTCTGATCAGCCCTGTGCCCCTAGCCATGGTATCATACCATTTTCTTCTTTTATGTGGGCTTTGCTATCATTCATATAACAGAAGAAATTTTTTATCTGTTAGAAAAATAATAATTAAAACTTCTAGATAACTGGAGAAATTAAATTATTAGATAAAAATTGCTTTTACTATATGATTGTACACCATTGTTTTTGTTTTGTTAATTAGCTACCTGCGAAATGTGTGGGATGGTTGGCGTGCGAGATGCTTTTTACTCTAAAACAAAGCGTTTCTGCAGTGTTTCATGTTCAAGGAGTTACTCGTCAAACTCCAAGAAGGCAAGCATTTTGGCCAGACTTCAGGTAACGGTACAGAAACCTTCTTATTCTTTAATATCTGTTATTTCTGTGGCTTCACTATTCGTCATCTGATTTTGATTCACTGTACTCCACCTCTGCCCAATTGAACAGTTACCAAATTTTATACCACATTTTTAGGAAATACGTGAGCCCCAAAATTTGTTCAGTATTTAAAATTGAACAGCTATCATAAATAGACAAAGCATACTATCTGAAATAAACTATGAATCGTTCATGTCGGTGATTTAAAAATCCTTATCCCTGTTAATAATAAAGTATAATATGAATAATAATGTAATAAATATAAAAATTATAAATAAAGTATTTAAAACACCTTTTAAATACAAAAATTGAAGCCATTTTTCCCCCTTGTTTCTTTTGAGTTAACATCAAGATATATACTCTTAGTATTTGGGGGTAAATAATTTACCCTTTGGTTTTATCTTTCATCACCTTTGCTTTGTACTTTTGATGGCAACCCATTTGAAAAAAATGTATTTGGTTAACCCAACTAACCTTTTTGAAAACATACATGATATAGAAAGAAAATTATCTTTCTTAAATTTACATCAGTACCTACAAAATGACTGGAGATTTGACTATTTGACTGAGTTGTCACTATCGTAGCATATAAACAACTTTTTAAAAGCATTATGTAACTGGTTTTTGTAATATATTTTATTTGAGTGATCACATTTTGCTTATTCTCCTTTAACTTATTGTGATCATTACATAGCACTGAAAGGATTATTTGAATCCCCCATATTAAGGAAATACATCACTTAGATGTATTTCTATATTTCAGACAGACAGTACCTAAAGATCCTGAGCAGTGGTCTGTACCCAAATGGATGGCAGTTTGTCACACTGTGAATTTGGCCCCTGATCATTTTGTCATTGATCTTTTGCATTAGCACTAAAGGTATAAAAACCTCAGTCACTTGCTCTTTAAATATTCAGTTATCTTCTCTTACCAAATAAATAGCAATGCTTGGCAACCTGCATGAGTGAATAACCACTGGTTTTATCTAGTATAAGAAGGAGTCAAGTATCCACCACAGCCTATACTTTAACATACTGTGGGATGTAATTTTTTATTAATATATTAATTTGCATATTGCTATTTTAGTCTTGCCAGCTCCACTACCCATATTAGATGTAACTACATTGTAGCAGAACTCCAGAAAATATTTCTCATGTTGAAATTCCTTGTGTTTCCTCTGCTTTAATAATTTTCTAAACCTTCAATGTTTAATTAAGCAGAATGAGTAGTATGCACTCAAGTTAAGTTCTGGTGTTTTGGGGGGAATGTAAAAGAATCCTATTTACTTAACTCTTCTTGTTTTAGGGTAAGCCTCCAACAAAGAAAGCAAAAGTTCTTCAGAAACAACCTTTAGTTGCTAAACTAGCTGCGTATGCTCAGTATCAAGCTACCTTGCAAAACCAAGCAAAGACTAAAGCAGGTAATACGGATGAATATAATAGAGGTGTGGCGTATTTGATCCTCATTCATCTAGCTTCATTTTAATTCTGTTAACTAAGCTATTTCTGTGCACTGTTAGCCCACTGTGATGCTAGGATTCCTGATGATGGTTTTGGTTTCAATATATTACTCTAGGAGTGAATAGTTAGTTGAGTTCACAAGTTCCAGTGGCAAGCCTAAAGATGCTGTGGCAATCTTAATATTTTTTATTTATTTTATTATTTATCTTTTATGTACTGATCTCTCTATGCTGTGGATGGTGGGGAACATTGTGGAGATAATGGGCAAAGAAGTGGGACATTTTGCAGTTTTCAAAGGGATTGGGGAGGAAAAAGTAATAATAAGAAGAGGTTGGAAACAATGAAGCAAAACTGAAGGAACAAAATAGCAGCTGACTTAGAGACTCCAAGAATGAACTAGTGGTTACCAAAGGGGAAGGGTGTGGGAGGGTGGGTGGGGAGGGAGGGAGAAGGGGATTGAAGGGTATTATGTTTAGTACACATGGTGTGGGGGATCACAGGGAGAACAGTGTAGCACAGAGAAGGCACATAGTGGATCGGTGGCATCTTGCTGCACTGATGGACAGTGACTGCACTGTGGTATGGGTGGGGACTTGATAATATGGGTAAATGTAGTAACCACATTGTTTTTTCATGTGAAACCTTCATAATGTATACCAATCATACCTTAATAAAAAATATTTTTAAAAAAGAGGTTGGAGATAGGACCATTCCTAATGAACAGATTCTTAACAGGTATGCAAAGGCATGGAGGTAAGTGGGAGCGAGGCAGTGAAAAACCGTAGGTATTGGGCAGTAGGTGTTGGACAGGAATCTCACTGCACAGTAAGAGCTGCATGGGAATAAAAACACAAAAGCAGCCCACCATAGCAGTGTTTGTTACCCTGAACAGTTCTGCTCTCGGCTGTTCTTTGCTGCCTATAACTGGAGAGCTCTTCTCCCTTCACTTCCTAAGGAACCTAAGTTGTATATAGAAGACTTAAACTGCTGTTGGTTTGCAAATATGATATATGCTAAAGTTATGTTTATTTAGAGAAGTTCTTCAACTTTACAGAAAAAAGTATTTTCTCTAAAGGTGATAAATTAATTTTATATCATTTTACATTTTTAAAAATGGCCTTCTTAAAATATGAAAAATTTGAGAATTATAATGTCTAAATCAATTTTTTTCAGCAGCAGTCTCCATGGAAGGTTTCAGCTGGGGTAACTACATCAATAGCAATAGCTTTATAGCTGCTCCAGTTACCTGCTTTAAGCATGTGAGTATGGAATTTCTCACCTTGTATTGAAATGCTTAGTTTCTGTCTAAATCTGAAGAAACCATAACACCTAATCATCTTATCCTTAGAAATCCTTTATTTTATACATTGTAATGTAAACGTTCCTTTTGTTAATTATTATACTTATTAATTGCTAAATATACTTTGTTTTATAAGAAGCTTCCTATGAAGAGATTTGTAACTCAAAATTATTTTAAACAGGAAAAATTACTGGTCTCATCCAATTATCATATTAAGTTGAATGATATTAAAATTGCTGGTTTTGTATATCGAAAATAGTTGCATATTGGCAATGTCATATGGTTCAACCTGAGAGAAACCTTCCATTGTGTATGTTACCTGACTCTTTGTGATCTGATCTGATAATTCAAAAAAGGAAGGATCTTTCTTCCAGTTTTTTTTTTGTCTCCAAAAGTTACAAAATAAAAAAGAAACTATTAGTAATATAGTATTGGCGGCTGGCATAAGCAATGTATATATAGTGGAAAACCTTTTCAAGATGTTCTTTTTAGTAAGTAGATTGTTACAAAGCATCTAAAGTAATTCAGAATTGTGTTAAAAATGTATGTGAAAAGTTCTTTTTTTATTCCTTTCCTTTTATTCAATTATCTGTGATTAATTCTCTCCAATACTTTTTTTAACCTTCTACAAATTTAATTTATATCTAAATGTTCTGTCTGCTACTGACCATGTATAACAAGAACACAGATTTTAGGAAATTTTTTTAGGAATGAAGTTTTGCTTATATCAAACATTTTGTTAGGGGCTTACTTCTACATAACATCAGGTGAATAAAACTGAGCTTGAGTTCTTACTGTGGAAATTCAAATGAATTTTCATTCATTCATGGCCAATAAAGGATCTTGATCAAGGTCAAGCATATTAATTCTTTGGTAGAAATATAAACTAAAGCCAAGTTTATTAATTTGCTAATTTCCTTTCTTGAAAATACAAGTGTTAATCCCTTACCCGTGGCATGCTAACTATCTGAACCAACCTAACTGGAATCATAGGTACTTTTTTCTCAATGTAAGTGATTTATCTTACTATAATGTTGCTAGTAGTGTCACACTTATGAGATGCATTAAATATATGGCAACAACAGCTTTAAAGAGAACTACAAAGCAAATCTTTTAATTCCCCTTCCCATAGTTCCTTCTGGTACTGAGAAGCTCAGAGTTAGGTTAAGTGTTCTCAGTTTCATAACTCATCTCAGATTCTAGAACATTCATTTTCGCCTGCATAGCCTTTCTCTTCCTATCTTTATTTTAGTATTCTGATTTTTAAGTTTTATTATCATAAGCCCTCTAAAGCTATTTTACCTAAGTACTCAAGATATTTTTTAAGTAGCATTTCAAAGTCCCAACAGTGTAATATTTTGTTTCATTTCTATATCTTTGAATAGTAATACTAAATTAAAGTTCTTCACAAAAAAATCACTAAATAATGAAAATGGTTGACTTTATTTTCAGCTTCACTTTTTTTAAGATTAAAGTTTCTGACAAAAGATTCCAGCAGCTAGACTTGGCCATAGTAGTAATAATGATCCTGTGGGGCCACTTCTTTCTCACTCAGAAGTCAGGCCTCTGTCATCTAGTGCTTTCCTTCTCCACTTACCCTTTTTTACTGCCTTCTCCTTATCAAATAGGAAAAAAATTTATATTGGTAATGTTTCAGTATATTTTAGTACACATGAGTTTGCTTTCTTCCTTAGCAGCATCTTCACGTGTAACCATTGGTTTAGTTTAGACCTCATGCTACACTTGGTTTTGTGCTTTGGAGTTGACATTTTACAGTTCTCCCCCAGATAGTTTTCTAGGTTACCAAGGAGAGTTACTGGCTTTAGCTTTAGAAAAAACTATTTTCAGGAGGTGCTTGGGAGCAGAAGGTCCTGCCTCTTAACAAAGGCCTTCCAGTCTAAGACAACACCTGCTCTAACACTGGTTCATTGGGAGGACTGCTTCCAGACTCTGTGTCTGCCTTGTCTCCAGATTAACCACAGGTTGGAAGCCTTCACCTGTTCCTATGGGATTCTTTTTCAAGCACAACTTTGCAAAAGATCCACTGTGGAACATGGAAGCAGAACTGTCCTGGTTGAACCAGGCATTGGGGTGGGGGCAGCATCAGATCCTTGGCTGCCTTGCTTCTTTGACCTGGCTTGTCCTGGAGTAAGGATCCCAGCTAAACACTTTATATTTTCCATCACTTAAATATGATTGTGATCAGTTCTAAAATCATAGAATTTCAAGAGTAGAATTCTTCTTTCCATGAAGTTCCTGTAACATACAGCATAGGACTACATCATCTTTAATAATTGCTGTAATTATGCATATCGGTTTATTCTTCATCACTCAATCACAACAATGTTTGACATTTTTTATAATTAGCAATGGAAATTGAGCCTTAACTATCATTAAATATATCTACTCAGGAATCTGTACAGTGTGATTGCCATATGTCTTGATACATCTTTTATTTTATCTAGGTAGGAGTTTTCAGATTTTTTTTTAAGCATCAAACTTCTCCTTTTCCTTAATAAACATAGCTAGGGTAAGAGGAAGGTGCACTGATTGGTGTGGTAAGGACAGCATGGTGGACAGCCTTGGCCCCCTGACTCTTGGAAGTCTCTGAGGTTGGAAACCAGTAAATTAGGTAATACCACTTTTAATTAAATCAATAAATAAGGTGGTGTTACTTTTAATTAATCCTTACAAAGCTATAAGGCATTCTAGCTCATCTAGTTCATCTCTTATAAGTGAAAAAACTCTTGCTACTTTTTTCAGTAGCTGGTTGGTAATTTTCAACTTTAAACTTTAATCTGCTTTTCATAATGCAGTCTTTTTTTGTGTGATACCATTTTGAATTAAGCCCCTAAAGGAAAAACACTCCTGTGTTTCCCCTTCACTTGCATGCTACTGCCACACAATAGTTCTGACACCAAGTATGTGGGTCATACATACATCAGGCAATTTTCTGACATCAGCTGGGTGTCCCACAATTCACCTTTGACTCTGATGCTAGTAGAGTTAGCTTCAGATCCCACAAGTTAAGGGCTCAGTCCCACAAAATAGCCCCCACTTGAGACACCAGTCACAAGTCCTAGGATCTTTACGTTTGACCAACTGGCTCTAAATCAGGGTTCCCATGACACCCCCTCCTTGGGTTTGGTAATTTGCTAAATATGCTCACACAACTCAGGGAAACACTTACTTAGCTTTATTATAAAGTATAAAGGATATAGTAAAGGATACAGATGAACAGCCAGATGAATAGGTACATAGGACAAGGTATATATGGTAAGGGGCATGGAGCTTCCATACCTTCTTTGAGTACACCACTCTCGTAGCACCTCTACTAGTTCACCAGCCAAGTTCTTGGAACCCTATATATTAGGGTATTTATGGAGGCTTCATCACATAGGCATGATAGAGCATTAACTCAGTCTCCAGGCCCTCTCCCTTTCCCAGAGGTTGGAGGAGTGGGGCTGAAAGTTCCAAGCTTTTAATCACAGCTTGGCCTTTCTGCCCAGTTCCCATTCAGAAGCTATCTAGGAGCCCACCAACAATTACCTTGTTAGAATAAAAGACATTCCTGTCACCCAAGAAATTCCAAAGGATTTAGGAGCTCTGTGTCAGAAACCAGGGTCAAAGACCAAACACAAGAACAAAGGTTCTCCTAGTGTTCTAATCAATTAGGAGATAACAAAGGTTTTTAAGAGCCCTGTACCAGGAACCAGGGGCAGAGACCAATATATATATATTATTTCATATCCCCTGCCTATAGTATCCATATCTAACCTCACTATAGAAAAATCTCCAAAATACTACTGTAGTACCATATGCCTGTTAGGCTCACTAATATACTAATGAAATTCAAAGATTAGTTTCTTCTTTTAATAATTTATATCTGAACCCAATGGACCCTCCACTTGATCTGTGTGTATGCAAAACATTTAGCCTTGAAACACTCTTAATTTTTTTTTGAAGACTGCAGTCTTGTCGTTTTTCTTTTTTCTTTCAAGGTATCATTGATACACAATCTTACGAAGGTTTCACATGAGCAACATTGTGGTTTCAACATTTACCCATATTATAAAGTCCTCACCCCATCCCCCCGTCTCCCACTGCAATGACTGTCTGTCAGTGTAGTAAGATGCTATAAAGTCATTACTTGTCTTCTCCAGGCTGTACTGCCTTCCCCATGACCTACCTATATTGTGATTGCTGATTATAGTGCTCCTTAATCCCCTTCTCCGTTCCTCCCCACCCCTCCCCTTTGGTAACTGCTAGTCCATTAGTGGGTTCTGTGAGTCTGCTATTCTGTTCCTTCAGTTTTACTTTGTTGTTATACTCCACAAATGAGGGAAATCATTTGGTATTTGTCTTTCTCTGCCTGGCTTATTTCAGTGAGCATAATATCCTCTAACTCCATCCATGTTGCTGTAAATGGTAGGATTTGTTTTCTTCTTATGGCTGAATAGCATTCCATTGTGTATATGTACCACATCTTTATCCTTTCATCTACCGATGGACACTTAGGTTGCTTCCATTTCTTGGCTATTGTAAATAGTGCTGTGATAAACATAGGGGTGCATATGTCTTTCTGAATCAAGGATCTTGTTTTCTTTGAGTAAATTCGTAGGATTGAAAGTCAAATGGTATTTCTAGTTTTCGTTTTTTGAGGAATCTCCATACTGCTTTCCACAATGGTTGAACTAATTTACATTCCCACCAGCAGTGTAGGAGGGTTCCCTTTCTCCACATCCTCGCCAGCAGAAGACTAATCTTTTCAATTGTAGTATGCTAATCCCATTATTTGCCTTATTAAAAAAAATCAGGTAAAACTTTTCTCTCCCAGGCTTAACAGCACAGTTCAAAATGTGCTAATATCAAATGTACATGAAACATACAAAAACTAACATGATATTCCTTCGGTTATCATTACGAGCTTCACAGATTTCTTTGGTACCTGCCCTATGTGCTCTGCCGTCTTGTTGATGTTGTCATTGGCAAGGCCTGAAATGTAACCACCCTACTTTTTCCTCCCTTGAAAATAGTTGTAGTTTTGTATCTTTAAAAAAGGTCTTGTAACATGCATACCATAACTTTAAAGCTGAGTTTACTTAACACTTTTTCATCTTGTCTTCATAAATACACATTCTAATCCTCTCTCTGATACTTGACCTGTATGCCAGCTGTTGTGAGAGGATAAAGTTATCAGTATTTCTTTTGCAACATGTATCACAGGTATATTTTTTGTTTGTTTCCCCAGTCTTGACCGCACATGCACGTGGCTCCATTAAAAGTTGAAAATAAATGTGCTCTGTGTCTATTTTAACTTAAGTTAGAATCTTCTGTATGTCAACATAGATCTTATAATTTCAGGAAATAAAACTTAAGTTAGTTCCTGGCACTTGCTAGTTATTGTGAGTGTTGTTGTCACAAAATAGATTTTCTGTGGAAAGGAAGTGGACTCTTAATATAGTAAAAATCATCTTTTCTGTTTTATGGAATATCTAAAATCTAGATGATTTTCTTAATTTTTATCTGTTTCAAAAATGGATCTTGTTTTTCCATTAGGATCTTCTAATTCTTAAACAGTATTCATTTAATAAGTTTAAAAAAATATATGGAAAATAGTTACTGCTTCCTATCCCTTTTTACTTATACATTGAATTCTATTATTCTTAATTTTTACTTCCACCCCAAGCATCCGATTTTCCTTTTACAGTCTCTCAGCACTCCCATCTCCCTGCTGCCACCACTCAAAAAGTAGACTTTGGTATCAACTCAGTAGGTGAGTGGATTTTCTGGAGAAAGAGGAAACAGATTTTTTTTTCCTTTTTCTACTTTCTACCAATCCCATCAAGTAGTAGTTACTAGTTTTACTATCTTTCTGTAACATTTTCTCCTCTTCTTGCTCAAATAATATTTCATCCTTCTCTACTAAATGCACTTAGTAATCACATGTTATAATCTTAAGATATTTCAGTGGTGGCTTTTTGTACATTTGTCATATCATTGTTGGGATAGATTCTTTCTTGGTTACCTGTGTGTAACTTCAGGGCTAATCCCACCCACATCATCTCTGTTGATAGAGAAGGTTGTGGGTGGTTATGGAAAGTTCTAGGTTGGCAGCTCTGTGGAAGATTTGTATTTCTGCCATAAGCATCAAGTGTAGTGTATCAGCCCTCTGAGAGTTTAAATACTAGCCATCCTGCCTATTGGACTATCTGGGAATGTTCTTGAAGTGCAGAAAATAAAACTTCCCACCCAGTTATTTTCTTATAGACAGTTGAGTGAAGGTTCTCATACATTCGTGCTGGGGAGCCCTCAGCATTTGGATTTGGCCATGACCTGCAGGACCTGATGACAGCTTACCTTGCAGGGAAGGAGAATCGCTCCCAGATAGCCCTCACGAGTGGCCCTGGAGCAGGAAGTGGTGAAGCAGATCTTCCTGATCTGGGAGGAGCCTGAGGTGGACCTCTCGCCCTGAGTCTGGAAGGTAAATTTGTTGTTACCTGTAAATTATGGTTCTGCTAGTTCATGCTATGCCAATCCAGACTTTCAGAGGTCTCCCTCCTGCCAGCAAGAGAAGACAGATGACTTGAATGAAGATGGCTGTCAAGCCCTGGGTCATTTAGTCTTCTATACTTAAGAATATTCATTTTAAACAAAAGGACAGATAATCTATGAAATTACTTTATTGTTTGAACACACTGAGCACATACTATGCAATAACTATCGTGCTCTTTTTTGTTGTTTTTGTTTCTTCATTTTTTTTCTTATAGTGAACCATATGGATTGGTTTAAGAGTGCCTAGCAGAACCACAACTTTACAGGCAAGAACAAATGTCACTTTCTGCTACTTTCTCCTATACCAATCCAGACTGTAGGAACCAAACATGATACCCCCAAACTTGATTAAAGTGAGCATTAACTTGATTTTTTAAATGAGCTTGAGACCTTATTTTCTTTAATTAAAAATGACTAGAAGTATTTTCTCCAAACAGTTGTTACAGCTTAAAAAAATTATGGCAGTATGACATCTGTCTAGCTCCAAGGGGAGTCCTATATGCCAAATTGACTTAGCAGTGTGCCAACCTAACCTTAACTTGTCAGCATAACCATGCCTCTTTCTTCCTAATGAAAAATAAACCCATTCTACAAGATTTGGCAGCCAAACATTATTTAATGCATATGTGTAACTGCACCTATCTACTCTAATTGGTTCATCCTCATAGAAATGAATACATGGTCTTTGTAAAGAGTTAATATCTTAGCTTACTCGATGTCACTATTTTCCTTCCAGCCTTTTTCTTTTCTGGTCATACTGCTGGCAATAGGGATGGCCCTACAGTCTAGAATGATATAGGGGGAGATAGCAGAACCTGAAGAGTCCAGTCTTTCAATTCAAAAAAAGCAGAAAGAGGTAGTCAAAATGGATGTGGTTTTTTGGCACAGCTCAGAGAAATAGTTATGTGTACCTTTCCAGGATCACAAATAGTTGAGATAGTACACTGTCTCCAAATTTTTGGGGTATATTCATGCTTCCTACTTGAAGCAATAGCCATAAATTGATTCTGTTTGGTTTCCAGACTTACACTATTTAAGTATTAATAGACATTTCTTCCTCTCCTTCAGAATTTTCATGAACCCCAAGAGGGTAGGGGTTGAGTATTGTTTAAGGCTAATCCTCCTGTTGGGTTAGCATCCACCAAAGTTGAAAGGCCTTGCGTGGAAAACATTTGCCCTGTGTTCATATTGGTTAGTTTGTGTAACTCTTAGATGTCAGATGTCTTTGGTCATCTTTGAGCTTTAAAGCTATTTTGTCTTTTCCTGATTTGTTCCTATTATCAGGTCTTTATAACCTCACCTGATCTTCCCCTCTGTGATCAAGGTACTAATTATATTTAATGAGAAGCTGATTATGAAGGGCCACAGTGACTGTGTTTAGTATTAACATTTATATTAGCATTTAGTATTATCATTTATATTCCTAAATTTGCTTATTTGATTTAATTAACTATTTCATAAACTCCAGGTAATTGTAAATGGCCTCAAGTTTTAAGGATTAAAATGTAATGGAAATTGTCATTTGGTAATATACATTAGATTTGGGGAAATTACTTCATGGTATTACTTACTCAGTTTTCTGAGTCCCCATTGTAACCATTTAGTGTGGAGGCTGTTGATTACCAGTTCTAACATTGAAAGTTTTCTCTTTGTTTATAGTAGTTCCTGCATGAGAAATTTAGAAGTGATAAATTATTTAACAATTTACCATGGTATGAGTTTTAAAAATTCCTCAACTCCACTTTTTTAATACCTTTATCCAGTGCTTTTGCCACATGTCTGTTTTAACAGACTATATTTCTATTCTATGAATTTTAACTTCATTTGAAATTATAGATAAGTTTTGTTTCTCCGACACCATTGGAAACCACCTTCCTGATTGGGATTATTTTTCTTTCTGTTCTTTGGCTAGATCTCTTAAAATTAGAGATTAAGGTAAAGTATGTTTATTTAGTGTATATTAAAAATAATGAGCATCTTATCCTGTGAAGTCTATCAAGTTTGTGATTCAGCTTTTACAGAAATTGCTGCTCAAGTCTCATATTAGAACAGTGTTGACATGGATCTATTCCAATACATGTGAATTCTCTTCATCTTGAGCTTGACCTTGACACTAGCTTTTTCTAAAAAGAACTCTATGAAAAAGGGGAATAACCATTAACATTTTCAGAGAAAAATGAATGAATTAAATGGCATTTTCAGTTTAAGTATTAACATCAATAATGGAAATATTAATTATGAATTACGTGTTCTCGGCTTTATATTAAGATGATAATTTAATAATTTTTATATGACAGGCACCTATGGGGACCTGCTGGGGTGACATCTCAGAAAATGTAAGAGTAGAAGTTCCCAATACAGACTGCAGCCTACCTGCCAAAGTCTTCTGGATTGCTGGAATTATAAAACTAGCAGGTGAAAAGCACGCATACTAATTTACATTCATAATGTGTAAGAAAGCATATTTATAAGTTTTGCAAGTGTTGCTGAATAAATAATAAATGTGATAATAGGGCAGAGGTTGGCAAAGTTTTTTTCTGTAAAAAACTGGACAGTAAATATTTTCAGCTCTGTGAGCAATGCGGTCTCTGCCACAACTATTAATTCTATCATTGTAGCATGAAAGCGGCCAGAGCAATACATAAATGAATAATCACAGCTGTGTTCTAGTAAAACATTATTTGGGGGCACTAAAATTTGAATTTTATATAATTGTTATATATCATGAAATATGATTTCTCCTTTGATTTTTTTTGAACCATTTAAAAATGTAAAAACCATCCTTGGATCACAAACTAAAAAACATCAGGCCATGGGCCAGATGTGTGGCCATAATACAGTTTGCCAACCCCTGGTATAAGGAAATACCTTGAAAAGTAACGAAAAGTTGAGGTGCTAAAAAGAAGGTGACAAGGTCCATAATACCAAAAGTAAACCATGTTGATGATTTTACACATCTTGAGTTCTTCCTTTTTCTTCATTCCCACTGCTTCCATGTACCCTAGTCCTCTTTACCTTACTGCTCATAGAATAAATGTATTAGGTATCTACTGTGCTAGACACTGTGGGCGGTGATACACAGAAATGTAAGACTTAGTTTTTTAGCCAGCTCCCATCTGCCAAATGCTGAATGCATTTATGACAAGATGCTCAGTGAGCAATGTTAGGGTTCACTGTAGTACCTCAGCTCTCAGCCACTCAGATGAGAAAAGTCCCTACAGAGGTGTCTAACTTAACCTGCTCTCGTAGTGTTGATCTCCAGCCCTTCTCCCAGAAACACCATGCGTATGGCTCACTATGTACTGCTGAAAGACTTAGCTTACCTGAAAATGATCTTAATTCCATATTTTTGCTCAGGCATCTTTTAGCGGCTTCTTTGTCTTTAAAAGATGAAGGTAATCAACATTTACAGCTATTGAGGAGTTGTGCCATACACCCTGGCCAAATTTTTTGTTGCTCCCCAACATAAATGATATGTTCTAATGAGACTATTCTCCCTCCTCCCTCACACAGCCTGTTCTTTGTCACCTCTGTGCCTTTGTGGAACTTGTCATGTTACCCACCTCAGTTCCCACCTTTTCCTTGAAACATTTCCTCAGCTACAAAAGCATTCTCTAAACCTTTGTATCGTTCTCTACATCATAACTTATTCTTTCTCTCCTATCAAGTCAGTTGCATTTAAATAGTTCTAAAGATCAGTGAATTCAGTATCCAAGAATTACTTATACCTTCTGTCTCCAATTTAACATTTCTATTGTATCTGATTGCATCATATATCTTACTTTAAGCCACTATAATGACATTTTAGAAGTGAGCCTGATGTTAAGAGCTTAGCAATAGCTGGGAAACTCATGACTTAATCTGTGAATTACTGAATTTTAAAACTAGAGTTTTAATGCTATAAATTTTCATCATTGATATTAACACGTGAACTTAGCTCCCAGCCTGGAATACAAATTTATTGGGCCTTTTTTTTTTTCTACTGAAAGTCTTAAACCTTAATCTATTACAAACGTAAGGCTTATTGAATTATAAACAGGATATACCATATGCTTTTTGTTTTTTCTAGGAACTAAGACTTCTATTTGTTTTTAGTGCATAAAGAGTTTAAGCAATTTCACATACTTTTGTGTTCCATTGAACTTTTTTACCTAGCATTTTCTAATTTTATTTTCAAATAGAGAAGTTAAGACTTAAAGTAGCCACATCCAAATTATTAAAGAATTATGGGTCACCTAATCAGCGGGACAAGGCAAGTTCACTGTTGAAATGTACTTTAACTGGACTTCTTTGGACATAAGGTTTGGCTAACTTACCATAGCCTTCATTTTTTCTTTCTTTTACTTCTCAAAACTACACATTCTGGTAGAACTTTCCCACCCCTGTTTTCACTGAAACTTCTTTTCTAGAGTTTCAGAAACTGTGGGTAAAATTGAAGTATATTCAAAGGAGGAAGCCATGCTCTGAAAACAGTTGAATGGCATTCACATAAAAGGTTCTCAAAGTTTGCACACACAGTAGTGGTAAGCATCACCTGGGGACTTCCTCAGACTCACCCAAGAGCCAGCCACTAAAGGGAAATTTCCAGGGGAGGGGCTGGCTGTCTGCTACAAGCTCTGGATATGATTCTGTTCAGATGCACACTGACATTTTATAGCCATTACCAGCGGTTAGATCCTGCTTCTGTTCTTTTTCTTACTATGTGGCAATTTATTGGTTTCAGGTTACAATGCCCTTTTAAGATATGAAGGATTTGAAAATGACTCTGGTCTGGATTTCTGGTGCAATATATGTGGTTCTGACATCCACCCAGTTGGTTGGTGTGCAGCCAGTGGAAAACCTCTTGTTCCTCCTAGAAGTAAGTATTTTCATTACCCTTAACTATAATTTCACACATAGTAACATTAAACGTATGTAGAAATGTAGAAATTAAAAGAATGTATTTTGGTTTCAAGTACCTTACCTACTGACAAGACATACTTGTTTTCTCTATTTCTGTTACTTTTATTTAGAACTTCAATTAATACTCTAAATTTCAGAGAAATTTCTTACCATTTTTTAACAGTTTATAAAGCAGTTCTTTGCTAAAGTATAACTGGTTATTTCTTTTGTTTTAGCTATACAGCATAAATACACAAACTGGAAAGGTTTTCTAGTGAAACGACTTACTGGTGCCAAAACTCTTCCTCCCGATTTCTCACAAAAGGTAAAGACCATATCTTAGAAGGTGTTAACTGAGAGCTCTAAAAAAAGTAGTAGTAACTTCAAGGTTCTTAAGGAATTGTTTTAATTTAGTGAACGAGATGCCCAATATTAAAGATGGAATGCACTCAGTTCTTTTAATAGTACAATATTAAAATTATTTATAGACCTTTGTTGTGAATTCTGAACAGATTTTGTGTGCTTTTGTTTCAAGGTTTCAGAGAGTATGCAGTATCCTTTCAAACCTTGCATGAGAGTAGAAGTGGTCGACAAGAGGCATTTGTGTCGAACACGAGTGGCAGTGGTGGAGAGTATAATTGGAGGAAGATTAAGACTAGTGTATGAAGAGAGTGAAGATAGAACAGATGACTTCTGGTGCCATATGCACAGCCCGTTAATCCATCATATCGGTTGGTCTCGAAGCATAGGCCATCGATTCAAAAGATCTGGTAAGTGCCTGTCCCAAGAACTCCTATGGAAAACATCATTGAGGCTGAATTGTACTGCTTGTTTATTTTTTCTATAGAATAGCGCAGATCAAAAATAGCATTCTTGTTGTCTGAGCTGCTTATTCTACTTTAATTAGGATAGGTTCAGACCAGAGTATTAGTGTCCTGATTCCTTTATATTCCTTCCACTTGTTATTGATTTAAAAATAATGCACTTTGGGTCACAACTACATTTGTTGTCTTATACTTTTTGTATCCAGCCCTTGTCAAAGCTTTAAAGATAGCCTTTCCCATTCCTTTCCATTTTAATCAAAATAGGAAGATTAAAATGTGATTAGACTTGATACTAAACACATTAAAACATGCTTTTAAAGTTGTAATTCCCTAACTAGGGAATTACCAACATTCCAGTTGGCTGAATGTATTTAATAGCACATGTACTCTGAACAGAGAAAGACTATTAAAGGATATTATTCACCATAAATGTAGGAGGCATGTATTTTTGCCATGTTTTTAGACTATACATACCTTGTGAGTTTGAAACCTTCAAAGAAACGTGGTTTTTGGTCTTCTCACAAATGCTGACAGATTAGTATGTAACTTTTCCTTGTAGATATTACAAAGAAACAGGATGGACATTTTGATACACCACCACATTTATTTGCTAAGGTAAGAAGTTTTTATAAGAACCCTCATTTGTAAATTAGGTTTGAAAGAGGGTTGTGGGTTTTTTCCTAAAATTATGGAAATCACAATTACATTTGTTCACTTAAGAAAATTAAAACTGTAATCAATAGGTGTCATCCATATAATCCATATAATTATTGATTATAATTATTCTTAAAGTCTATTTGCTTGAATTCTCTCTATTCCCTAGTGGAAGTTTGAGTTATAATATTAGGTAGGTAGGATAAGGCATTTGGTATTTTCATCTGGTAAACATTTTCAAACTGATAATAATTTAATTATTTAAATGATAACATTTGTAACAGTAGATGTGCTTTCATGTAATTCTTTAGGTAAAAGAAGTAGACCAGAGTGGGGAATGGTTCAAGGAAGGAATGAAATTGGAAGCCATAGACCCATTAAATCTTTCCACAATATGTGTCGCGACCATTAGAAAGGTAAGATAACAGGTTTTAAAATACAGAAATGCAAGTGCAGGAACTGGTTTTAAGGTACTAGGAGAAGGCAGCCGCTAACATATTTATGACTTGAAATGTGTGTGTTTGGATCTTCACTGGGGAGATTACTACTAATAATTTCAAAATAAACTTGAATTCTCTTACCAGAGGTTCTCAAATAGCTTGTCAGTTTTGTCATCTTGAGTTTGCTACCTTTATTTATGGAAGTATATCCTAAGTCAGAGAAAGAATATTTAAGCTACTTCCTGGTCAAAGCTACTGTAACACAGAATTGTTAAACAAGGCCAGTTTTTCTTTGATTTCCACTGTTTTCCTTTTTGTGCCTTTTTCTTCCTTGTGGTAGTACTTTTTTTTTTTTCCCCCTTTCTTCTGAAACTGCTTTTATGGAAATATCTAGATATCTAGAGGAGTGGTTCTCAGTGGACATCAGAATACTCCAAGGAACTTAGAATCTAATACAGGTGATCGGGACTCTTTCTCCTCCCCATACCCATTCTGACTTAAAGTCCCCAGATGATTGTCAAGTACAGCCATGATTAAGAACCACTGATCCAGAATCTGCTTACATAAAGGTATAACTTAAATTGTGATTTGCATTTCAACATAGTTTAAAACCTTAAGCCAAAAGAATTAAAGCGGTTATGATTGCTACCATGTTCAAGGTCACACAACTAGACAAGACTGACTCTAAACCCTTGTTCTTCCTCTTTACCTGCTAGTAATCAGAACCATCTGGTACAACTTAAAACATAGATTTCCATGACCTGCTCCAGACCTACTCAATGCGAAAAATAAGAAATACTGCCCAAAAATCTGTATTTGTTTAAAAAAGAAAGAAAAGAAATCGTTCTGTAGGTGATTCTGACAATCAGCATGTTTGGAAACTAGTGCCATTGCACCGTGCTTTGCTCTGTGAAATGAAATCGAAGTCCATGGGTCTAATATCACGCTTCATTCAGAAAATACTTGCTGTACTGGGCTTGGTTTGGATTCTAAAAATATGATAGTCTTGTAGAACAAGGTAAGGTATATAAAAATAAGTTTAATACAACATCAGCTGTGACCTAAGAACAAAGTACTATTGGATTCAAATGAAGGAAAGATCATATTCCCAGAGGAATCAGGGAAAGCTTTAGAGAAGAACAGATAACTGCAGCAAGCAGAGATGCAGGAGGAAATGGAGCGTGTAAAGTGATTTATGCCGCAAAGCATCAAGATAGGAAAGCCCTGTTATGAAATGGCAAGTGGTTCCCACATTGTACACATGAAACAAGTTCCACTGCATATTCTGGTCAAGGCTCCTTGTTTTCAAGGAACAGAAACCCACTCGTTAGCTCTAGGAAAGTCACTATGGACAGAGGGGGCGACATCACAGACATGCAAGGACACAGGGACAAGAACTAGAAAGGTGTTAAGTCCAGTGTTACTCTCTCCGTCTCTCAGGGCCTCTTTGTCACATGTCTTTTCTGCTCTGAGTCTGCACCACTTTTCTTCCCCTCTCTGGGTTAGTGTCTTACCCCCTCTGTCTGCATGTGGTGGCCCTCATTCTGTATCATAGCCTTTCAGTTCCATCTCTGTCCAATGACTTAACAATCTCTCTGTCTCTTAATCCTGATTACTCAGAGAGGATCTAGCTGAGCCCAGCTTCTGGCCTGGTCCCCTTAAGTTAGATATTAGCCCCCGGTGCAGTCAGCTATATTTGGAAAAGAAGAAAGGATCCCATGTGAGCGAAGTTTGTCTCTTCTAGAGCTGTTAAACTTGCAGAGAACAATATTGTACATATCCACTATAGTAGAAATAACTAAGACAAAGGAGGTTGGGGGCAGACACTACAAGCCAGTGTGGAACCAGGTAGTGCAGCCATTGAGTCCTTGGCCTGCCGAGCTTTCTTCATGAACCGGGTAAGTTGAAAGGTTTATGGCGTGAACAGAGGTCATGCCAAAGGAAAGTTTAACTGTGTAGGAGGGGAAAGGCTTCACAGAGGAAGGCTGTGAAAACAATGATATCAACCAAGATAGTGGAGAAAGAGTTAATGACAAGGCTAATGAGACTCAATGTTCAGGGGAGGTGTGGAACCTAGTGAGTGACTGATTACCTTTGAAAGGAGCAAGAGAAGTTGTTTTATTTGACACCCGTACTAACTCCAAGAATATGTTCAGCATGCAGGTAAGATACAGGACTGAGACAAACTCATGGTAAAACTTGAGATGCTGTTGGCATAGAAATCCATCTTTGAAGCATTGGGTGTAGGTGACATCACTAAAACAGAAAGAAAGGGGCTAAAATGAGAAACTTAAGGGTTGGAGGTAAAAAGACAGCCACCAAAAGAAACATGGGAAGAACGGTCAGAGAGGTGAGAAGACTGATCGGTAGACTGTAATGTAATGAGAGTCTGGAAAAGTCAACAAGTATCAGCTACTGCAGGGAAGCTAAAGTTTGAGGAGGATAAGTATTGGGGGAAAGGCACTGAATTTGACAAACTAGGAAGTCATTGGTGAATTTAGCAGTTTAGTAGGGCAAGGACAAATCAGACTACAAAGAGTTACACGGTATACAATTTGAATTGGGTTTCTGGGTGAAGAATATATATAGGAGTTCGTTGTATTGTTCTTTGGACCTTTTCTGTAAATGTGAACTGTCTGAAAATAAAATATTTTTAAGTAGTTTTAATACGATGGAAATTGGGAGACATTACAGTATAAGAGTTGGTGTTTAGAGCCAGGTACCAGTGGTACCATGAAAAGATGGAAAAGTTTGCCTGATTTTTCCAAACCTTTCCTACTTTCTTCAAGCTCCCACTTTTACCTCTTTCTTGATACAGCCATGCTCCTCTATGACAGAAACTAAAGCCACCCTCTGTAAGGGTCCTCACATTCTTTCCTGCACACCTCATATTGCTGTAAGAAAATAATTTATGACCAAGTAGAATTTACCTAGCCAAGACTAAGTAGTTAAATTATAAAAGATACTCAGCCCAATTTCATGATGCCACAGCAGCAGGAAGCTGTTAGCCACTGGCAAAGGCACATTTTTCTTAGACCTCTGAAATCACTTCTGTGTTGCCCTGCTTTATTTACAGTACACACTAGAATTTAGAGTCTTCATTGCTATTTCAGTTATTTAACATAATTAAATAAAGAAGCGTTTTTCACCTCTAAGAGATTTTATGTAATAGATCTTCCTCTCTTTTAGAATGTCAATTTAAAGGATCATTTTATAACAGTATCTAATTGCAATTTCCAATACTGTTTTAAATTTCAAATACTTGGAATTCTCTTCATTTAAAAGGTGCTGGCTGATGGATTCCTGATGATTGGGATCGATGGCTCAGAAGCAGCAGATGGATCTGACTGGTTCTGTTATCATGCAACCTCCCCTTCTATTTTCCCTGTTGGTTTCTGTGAAATTAACATGATTGAACTTACTCCACCCAGAGGTACTTCATCCTAATATATACACTGCGATTTCATTCTTTTTTTATGTGGTATCTCTTTACATGTTTAACATGGTCTCTGTTTAACAGCCTTGAATTTCTTGCTGTGCAAATACATAATATATATATGTGTGTATATATAGTGTACACATAACTACCAAGAGCTCTAAAATACTCTAAAAACATAGAGCACTGTATTATTCTAGGTAGTTTTAATAAATTATATTAGTATAGGATTTTCCCTGAGCATCTGTACATTCTATAATAGCTATTCTCAAGCCCGGTTGAAATGGTGATGCAGGCTCAATGGACTATTGCATACATAAACTTTCTTTAAAAATAGATACTTGAGTCTTTGAGTGGAAGCAAGTTTTCATCTTTTGAATGCCATGTGGCTTTTTAAATTTTAGAAGGCATGCCCTAACTAGCTCTCATGGCTTTAACCAGTAACTCTCCTAATTTCAGTATATGTGCCTTGGGTTTTTCTCTTAAGAAAAGAAGAGGGTAAAGCTTAACACAGAGGTCTATAAAAATAGTATTTGCCCAGCCAGTTTTCTTTATTCCAAAGAAAGAAAAATATCACTGCAAAGTGTTAAGTACTGCTCTTCTAAGCCTAGGATTGAAAAAGCAAAAGTCTATCATTCTTGTGGCAGTTTAGCATATAATCTAAAATCTGAGATTTAGTATGTACTAAGTTACTATTTATATCTACATTTTAATATTATGCTAATTATTTTAAGTGAACTGCTAGTTAAATCAGGTATGTTTTCCAGGTTACACAAAACTTCCTTTTAAATGGTTTGACTACCTCAGGGAAACTGGCTCCATTGCAGCACCAGTAAAACTATTTAATAAGGTAAATTTAAATAATGGCATAATAATGAAGTGGAATTTTTTTGATGCCTCACAAATGCAAATCATTGTTCATCAAAATGTCTTTGCTTCATATTATAATATCTTAATGGAGATTAATTTAAACAGATAAATAGTAATAAAGCAATATATTTTCTTTACTCAAAAATTGAAGCTGTTTCCAAAACTTTGTTTCATTTAATCTAATAAAATAGAAATGGATAATAAACTAGAACTAGTTTCCTAACTAGTTCTTAAATGCTTCACCTTCCTATATTTTAATAATTAAAGGATTATTTGAGATATTTTGGTTTCAGTTAGGCTATTTGGGTATGTTGCTTTCTTTTTTCTCTCTTAGTGATAGTGGCTTACACAGTCTTCCTTTCATCTGTGTTAATGTTTTGCTTCTGTCGGTCAGGATGTTCCAAATCACGGATTTCGTGTAGGAATGAAATTAGAAGCAGTGGATCTCATGGAGCCACGATTAATATGTGTAGCCACAGTGACTCGAATTATCCATCGTCTCTTGAGGATCCATTTTGATGGATGGGAAGAAGAGTATGATCAGTGGGTAGACTGTGAGTCCCCCGACCTCTATCCTGTAGGGTGGTGTCAGTTAACTGGATATCAGCTACAGCCTCCAGCATCACAGTGTAAGTCAGCAAACAGAAAAGGTGTCCTTTCCTGAAGCAGCCGTTCTCCAGAGCTGCTCGTGCTAAATCCTGTGAGCGCACAGGACAAGAATGTTCCATATCTGATTGGTTGCCAGGTAGGACCTTCAGTCCCAACAGCAGTATCACAGAGTCCAACCCTGTGAACCATGGCAGTGTGAACTCAACAGCCAGTTTCATGATGACTATAGAAACACAGTCCTAAGAGCACTCACCAAATTAAACTAGACTTAATGAGTTCAAAATTATAGGCTGAAGTTTATTGGCATATAAGAAGTACTTATTGAATAAATAATGGAATCTGTCTGGTTTTGAGGTTCGTGGTTTTATAGGAACAAACTCCCTTACTTTCAAAGCTTCATATACTTTTTATAAACGTAATGGTCTTGGTAAATATAATTCATCTAGATTGTTTCTAGAGTTGTATGTTTACAATGCTAATCTGGAACCAATTTCCCTTTTATTTTTCAGCATCAAGAGAAAGCCAATCAGGTTCATCAAAACAGAAGAAAAAGGCCAAGTCCCAGCAATACAAAGGACATAAGAAAAGTGGGTCACCACATTGTGTTTATATACATTTCCTAAAATGTTAGCCAATTGGGGTCACAGTATTCTCGCAAAGAAAATAATAGCCCTCATGAGAGCTGATGACTGTGCATTATGTATTATGCTTAAAGGTGCAGTATGCCATAAAAGGCAAACCCTTTCTATAATGTGAAACTCTTATATCTTAATTGACAGGGAAAGTGATTACCATAATATTTTAAACAATATGGTAAGGAACAGAGTCTATGAATGATTCTTGAAATAATATGTAAACTTACTGAAAATGTTTTAGACCTTTTCATTAAAAATTTTAAAAAGCAAATGCTTGATGCTTGATGTTTACAACAGATTTGGTGCCTAATAAACTCATCCTTATTAACCAAAATTCTCTTTCTAGAATGATACTTTTAAGACATTCAAATTGATGGCTCACAGAGGCTTAAGAAATTATTCCTAAATACGCTTTCTATATTATATTTTACCTCACAGTGAATGATTATTGGCATCAGTGGCCAAAGTAATGTAAAATATATTGATAGCTCTATTTGATTCTTTCCCCACTATAGAAAGCCACAGGTTTTTCTCTTTATGAAACTTGTCATGAACTATTTCATTCTGAGATAAGATTATTTTTATTTAAAAGTAAAAAGTACATTTCAGAATGTACTTCTGACAGTCATATGTTCAAATATTCTGTCTCATTAACAATCAAGACACTGACACAGAATGATAAATCAGATATGCTCTTACCTTTCTGTTAATAGTCATTTGCTTATAATTTTTTCTCTGGGATACTTAAGAACTTCCGCCAGCCACTGTGGTAGTGCTTTAGTTTCCTCCCAGTATGAAACCCAGTCAGCCTCACAACAGGAATGACCTTCAGGCCTGTCTCTTGCTCTTTTGTATCATAGCCATAAGCCTCCCATAGGCCCAGAATTATTTTACCCACTAGCTTTTTGCCAGGTTTGCTATTCACCTAATAGAACTTGAGGGAGCATTGCCAGACCAGAAAGACCAAAGTGATTTCCCATTACTCTGGAAATGATTAGGAATAATTTCACATGGAAACCTTGTCAGTGGAGTAACTATAGTAGATATGATCACTAAATTTTCTGTAAGATTGAATAGCACAGGCTGCTTTAGCCTGTCTTTTCACCTTCTATTGGACAGGACTTTGAGATGTTTCCAAATTTTCTCTCCCAAGATGTTGAATTAAGAAATTTATAACTCAGTGGTGGCTATATATACTTTTTAGAACTTATTTCTGAGCACTGTGTATACAATTTATATGCTTCCCTCAGTGTGACTCTTGAAGGGTTTGTTTCTGGCTTATGAGGTTTAATGATTTTGAATGAATGGGCTAAAGAACGTGGGAATAAATGTGAATGTAATGAAGTGATAGTATCAGTACCCCAGTTTCTAGTGGCATTTAGCATTTAACAAATGTTTCTGGATTAGCTAGAAAAGTGTATTTAACTGTAAGTATAACATGTTGTATAACTGTAACATTTGAAGAGCTCCTAATATCATGTATGACATATTCTCTCATACCTTTAAGTTGCCCTTTGGACATAGAAAGGAAAAGAACTATGAACCCACAGTCCCTTAGTAGAAACCCTTGGGGCCAGATATGTTTTAGAATTCAGAATTTTTCAGATTTTAGGGGAAAAGTATAGTGTGTATAGCATGTTATGTGACACCCCTTGCAGGAGCATTTTCTAAAGCAAAGTATATGTAGATATTTACATTAAATGGACCAAATAAAAATTATAACTAATATCACTAAGTAAGGTCTGGTTTTGTTGCCAAAGTTTTACGAAAAAACTTTGCATTTTGGAACTAAGGACAAGGAATTGTAGTGCCAGATGAATGAAAAAAAGTACTCTTCATTATAAGGGTACTCTGCTTTTATTCTTTTACGTTACTCAGCAGATAGCTTGTTAGAAATTTTTCCCACAAAACTTTACCCAAATAGGAAAAGATTTGGGGTCCAGAAACCTAATTTATTGCCTGCAGCTATATCAGCAGATAGGCCACAAAATCCCTTATTTAAGTTTACCTACAGATTTTTATATTCTGGCTGTATTGTTTACAGTTCATTGGTCTTTATGTCCCTAATATCATCCAGTAATATGTTCTTTGGTAGTGCTTATGTTTTACAGAGACAGACAGTGGATTGGCTTCATTATTCTAGCATGTTTTGTAGTAAGCTGTGTTAATGCTACAAAGGGATGACTTAATTATTGCTTTTGAAAAACAAAAGTAATGTTGTGACAAGAGGATCATATAGACTATTGTTTGCATATGTTGTTTGCACATCTAGAGCAGGAAAACCAGCACTAATTTCTGTACTATCATAGGTGTTATTGTGAGTAGTAGAGAGTTGGAGATTCGTCTTGCATTTTTACGTCTAAGTGTATAATTCATTAGAAAAAGTTCAGGTGATTGCTGCACATGATTTTGGTTTGGCAGTTGGTTTGGCAGTTGAGAGTTGAATGTATACTCACCAGTAGTATAGTTTCCAGATCATTTTATGTATGAATACTGTTTGACTTAGATTTATCTTTTAGTCCTGATTTTGGGAGACATAATTTCTGATTGCTCTTTCCTGGGTCATTTGTATTTTCTGGAAAAAACAGGAATAATATGTAGTCACAAAGATGTGGAAGTATCCTTCAGCTTTCAACCCAATCAGTGCAATATGCTTGGTTCAATATTTGCAAAGTTTAGAGTATTTTTTGTTGTTGGTAGTGAAAGCATTGTATAAGTTTTTAAGGCTTTTTTGCTTATGAAACCATAACTGAAGCGTGTTTCAAAATAAATTAGATTGTTTAAGAACTTGCAGGCAAAAAGCTTTAAATTTTAGAAATGCTATTCAGAATAAGAATTACAAGTGTTTTCTAAGAGAGTGGATTGTAAACTATAAGTTAGGGGAGCACTTTTCATATCAGTAAAATCCTGTCACATTGATTAAACTGCTTAATTGATTAAAAGCCCTTGTTTGGGCTTATGGGCAAGGAAATGCTTCCCTTCAAGTACAGTTTTAAAACCCTCTCTGTCTTCTACTGGATTTCTAACCCTACCCCAAGCTAAAATTTTCTTGAAGGAAATTAGCCAGCTGTTCACCAAAAAGTCCTCTCTGTAGTTTTTTTTGCTTTGTTTTAAGTTGATTTGAAAGTCAGGAACCAGGATTACCAGACAGACTCTCAGAGACTAGAAATAATCTCCTCAGTCCTCCACCCCACAACACACTCATGCATGCATACACTACACATTCCTTGTCTTCAGAAATACAAACCTTGCATAGTTGGTTCTCTTTTCAGAGTATCCTATGCAACACAACCTTTCCTAGTTATAAATGCACTTTTCGTACCACGCATGTAAGTAAAAGCTTACTTTAGTTTGACTTGATATTTAGAGAGGAAGATGCCAGTTGGGAAGAAGCCTGTCAGTTTGTCGAGCCCGCCTATGATGGGTGGGGTGCGGAGGAGCTTCTCTGGTGACGAAGAGTTGACTCCTCCTCCATTTCGAACCCTTCCAGCACAGACAGCCCTGGAGGCCTTCCCACCTCCCAGCACTAGCGGAGAGTTCAGTCCCAGCCTCAAAACAGGTAATTAGTGACATCAGCACCTCAGGTACTGCAGGGGGTAAAAGTCTGGGTAGGGTGGTGGGAGACAAAGCATGGTCTGGCATGACAGATGCTGACTCATTGAATCTTTCTTTTTCTTTCAACTTCAAAAATTCATTTTCACTAGTCTTTGGTAATTACTTCACTGAGGTATCATCAGGGAGGGATTTTTATTTTGTTATAAACCACTTCTGAGCTTCAAATTAGAGGAAAGCTATGATATCAGTTTTTGGAATTACGAGACAACTTGTACTCATTCGTGGCTTCATTAAACATTTTGCATTGCAGAATTCTACATGACTTGACCTGGGGGAGAAATAGGCCATTAGAGATTGATCTGATTAGTCAGATCCAAAGATGAGGCTTTGTTCACAGGTACACAGCATCCCATAGCATCTCATTCATTAAAAAGATGTGTACTGTGTTCTGGTATAATTTTCATTCTGGAAGTAACATTTACCGCAATCTTAGTTGAATAACATGGACTTGGAAGTACATACCTGCATTAGTGTTGGTGTAGAATTTGAGTAAAATTTATTTCCATAATTTCATGTTTGTGAATGTACAGTGATGAAGTAAATGACATTTGAGTTTGCTTGGTTAGGCCAAGCAAGTAGATTGTAAGGATGACTGGATTTGCAGTTTGTAATTGCTAAGAACAAAAACATATTATAGAATATCAGAAAGGCTTCACATGCATGTGGTAATAAACTTTAGACATGAGTGCAGATAGATATCCTCAAAGTCAGTTGTATCTTAGCATATATTCTTGCCATATGCTATTACTTTTAAACTAGATTGTTCTATCTAATCAGCATTCTTTAAAATGCTTTTTGTATGTTGAAAACCCTGTTGGGACTTAGTACCTAGCTTTATTTTCTTCTCATTCCTCTGTTTGCTAATATTTTTATTTTTGTACCTGAAGTTGCCATCAGCATTTTTTTTTTTTTTTTGGTCATTTTAAGATATGTTCCTTAGTTTTTGCTTCCCTAATGGTTTATCTTGATTCTTGATCCTTCCCAATCTGTTTCTCTGAAGATTACTCTGATATCCTTATATCTAGGGGAAATTACTATCCCTCCTTTGTATAAAAAGTAGATTTGCACTGCAATCGAAGTTTATCTGCTCTTTAATGGAAAAACCTTCAATGTCTATCTAAAGAGCATTTCAGTTTCTTGTTTATCTCTTTAACTTTCTTTTTGCACTTGTTATAAAATAGTCTTCTTTAAGTAACTGTAGATACTGTGAGCTCTAAATATATTTGAACTTTTATTGGATTTTAGATGGATTTTCTTTAAGCATTAGACTGATTTTGAAGGCATGTGTCACATTTTATGAGAGATTACTGATTCATGTAAAACAGTACTTGACTTCTAAGATTGATAAAATCCAAGAACCTAAAAGTAGACACATGGGATGGAGACCCCAAGGCCTCCTAAGTGACTTCTTTCTTCCACCAGTGTCTGGAGTGTCTTCTAAGATGAGGGCACATCTTGTGGGACTTGGTGGGATTTTTACTCTGGTGAAACTAGGTACTATGTTGCCATCTAAACTATCAAAGCTACATTTTGATTAGCTATAGAGAATATTACTTTAACGACTTCTAGCCATGTGCATGTGGTTTCTGTTAATTTATCTCTTGAAATGTTAGTGATTAGAGTTAGCAAAGCAACATCCTTTTAAAAACTGAGCTAAGAAAATGCGTTTGTGTAGAAAGTGACATTTAGCCACAGAATCTGTTTTTTCTCATCCATCATTCATTGAGAGTAAGGCCTGGAAAGGAGAAATGATTAGTGCAAAGATGGAGGCCCTGGCTTTATTTTAGGTTCCACAAAAACAGTGAAACCTTACATTAAAACATTCCACATCTGAGTGAATGTTTCACCTTTACTTTGAGTTACATTTTTTAAGCACATCGTTTCCATATTTTAACATGACTAGAAAGCATAGTCCAGAAATTTGCTGTTAATAATAAATGCAAATATTTTGAAGATAATGCTTTTGAATCTTAATTTACCTTTCATACATTTTTAAAAAATCCGTTTGAATGGAACATCTTTGGTCTCAAAGCGCAGTGATTCTTTTCTCATTCATTTAGCCATCCAATCATCATATAATGATAATTTTCTTATTCAACCTTTTATTGTGGGTACTGCACCTTTAATGAAACTTAGGGTTATTTTTTCCTCTTCCATGTGTTTATTGCCATGGGATTGTTCAGATGTCCTTAACAGTTAATGCATGTTGGTTAGATTTGAAGGATAACTGTTCCATGCTTGATATTCTCCATAAAAGCATTTTGAATTGTATGAAGTGATTTTTTTTAAGGAAGAACTGCACAGTCTTGTTTGCATTACCTTTGAACAGTCTGATTGGTGTTTATTTCACTATTGTTACAGGCATATGTATTCACTTTTCTGTCTTTGGGTTTTAAATTTTTTTTAACATCATTACCAAAACAAGTACTAAAGTAAAATAAAATGAATTGGCATCCTCAAAAAGATTATTCTTTAAATTATTAAACATGATGTCAAAGACATTATTTTTGAAACTAATCTCTTACAGCTGAAATCAAGACATGAAGCATTTGTCTCTGCAGTATTTGACTTGAGAGTGTAGCCAATTTAATATTGTTCTACATGGTGACACTGTCAAGTTACTGTTTCAGCTAAGTACTCTTGACTTCTAATCCTCCACATAAATTGACTTTTTTTTTTCCCATATAAGCAGTTCCCAATTTACAGTCTACGTATGTTTATTCTCTGGAGCCAGTTGTGATGAAAATATTCCTAATGGAAGCAAAAACTTTTTTACCTTTTATTTGGAACCAGTGCCTGCAGTAAGCAAGCACGTTAGCTGGCAACACAGCCAGCATGTGTGGGAGTCACACATTTTACACGGGGGTGTGTCGTGAACGCTGTAGCAAATTCCCACTGATCATAGCCTTTCAAGAATGTTAGTCTCATGTTGCCAAGTCTCTGTACTTTTCAGGGTTCTGTGTGAAATCTCTTATTTCAGAATATTAAGTCAAATTTAAAAGAACCTTGGGTTACAGGCAAGGACAGGAAGCAGGAAGGACAGTTTGTGACCTCTGACTTAGAGGAGGGGTGTGCTAAAGAAAGTTGGCATTGCTCACAATGGGATTCAATTCCAGTGAATATCTGAGCATAGAAGATATGCCAAGAATCACCTGTTCTTTAAATTATTTGAAACTACTAACTCAATTTTGGTTAAACAACTTGTTGAGAAACCTGAACACATCTATAACATCTATTATTAAAACTAGTTTTAACACCTAGCTAAGATCATTTTCACTTTAAAAAGGGGGGAGGGTAATTTTATGAAGGGAGGAATTCTATAGGAAGTAGGGAGTGGACCATAGCCCTCAAGGAAAGGAAAGGTTTAGGGCAGCCTGCAGTTACTGGACAATTGTGTTAAGGGATAGTAGCTTAAAGAGGGGTTTGTTTATAAAAAGAGATAGGAAATCTCAGATTTTACAGCCTGAATTTTTGCCTAAGACCAATGCTGGACCCAGCAAAGAAAAATTCTTTTTTCTCTTCATCCTTGCCCATACATTATAAAGAGCCATCCTATCACTAAGAATTCTCACTAGCCTAACTTTGGTAGCTACCAGGAAACCTAACCCCCACTGAAAATATTGAAAACTGAAAAACAGTGGTCTGTAGAAATAAAAACTATTGGAATATTCATAAACTGAGGACTGCCTATTCTGTTTGTTTGTTTTCATTAAAAAGGAGAAAATCAGATAAGAACTCAGACAGGCAGTACTACTGTTAAGTGATCCTGTGGGTAATGTTAGCCATTTGTACCACTGATGTTCACATTGCTAATGTCAGTTTTATTTTACCTAAAATGATTACTTACATTTTCCATAATTTTACTTTTACTTATTTTTATTGAAATGTTGATATTAGTATTGGTTTCAAGTATACAACACAGTGTCCATGATTTTAGTTGTAATACAGGTTATCGAATATCAGATTTATTACTTTTTACAAATATATGATTTCATATAATTTGTAATATACTTATATTAATAATATATTTTATATTTTTTTAATATTTTAGATGTATCAGATTTATATCTTTTCTACAGGCAGTTGTTAATAAAAGTACTCCTTGGAAAGAATAAGATTATTATATTGAAGTCGTATTTATTGTGCTGTTATTTATTGAATATTATAGTTCAGAACTATACAAGAAATACATCCTTGTTTGTATAAGCATTGACAGAAAAGTGAATACTTTTAATCATAAGAAAAATTCTAATTATTGTAGTCAAAGTAGTGACCACTGTTAACCCTGAACATTTCATTGAAGATAATCCATTGTGCAGAGTCCAGTATGTAGTATTATTCCTTTTTGGAACTTCCCTTAACTGTTAATATACATTGAAAAGTAAAATTAATTAAATGCTCACCCTTCAGGGGGTTAGTTAGAGACATGAAGTTTTATTAACTGCAAAGCTGGTGGAAGAAGAAGACGAAAGCAATCTTAATATTCCAGAAAGGCTTAATAACATCCCATACATTTATCTCTCTCACGCAGTGACCACATTGCAGCTGAAGGAGGAGTTGATAGATGGAGAGGATTATAATTTCCTCCAAGGAACATCTGATCAGGAAAGCAATGGCTCTGCCAACTTCTACATCAAACAAGAGCCCTGAGGTGGCTCAGAAACTGAGGGCGGGAGGGGAAGAATTTTACACAGGACTGATTTATAACCAATTGAGCTGTATAGCGGGGCTATTCTACCTGGGACATTTTGCTAAACATAGAAAATTTCAGTTCCAGATTTTTCATGTGGGTGGGGAAGCTATTTTAGTCATGGGAGGAAATTTTTCAATTTATAAAGATGGACAATTTTTGTGTTGTATTTGAAGCTTTTGGAAGAATTTTGTAATATTTTCCAAGTTTGGATTTATGTGCATTGTTAACAAGAACTGAAATTCTAACTTTTTTGGTAAGATTAAAGTTTAGGTAGCAGGATTGAAGGAAATGATTTAAGAAGGATATAGTTGTAAATGCAAATGAACTGTCATTACAAATGAACCTTTTTGGTACCTGTTGGGAGGTTTTGGGATTTTAGAAGTTAGGCCAGTCACATCTCCAGCTTCCTTTGCTACAGAAATATGCAACTGAACCCCCTCGTGGGCGGGTTCATCACCACGTAGATCTTGGAAGGGGTAATTAATTCTGCTTGTTGGCATTTTATTGCAGCCCATCTTAAATGTTTGTACAGAAATGTTTTTCATTCTGTGAAAATTGGAGTTCTGTATGAAACTGGGAGAACTCTGGATACTTTTATATGCTCTCTTTGAATTAAAAAAATGATTAAAGTTATCCTAACACTAAAGTGTTAAACTGGAATGGTTGACAAATATACAGGATCTCAGTCTACATGTTGAGGGGTTGGGGAAAATGTAATATTGTTCTAAATTTATTTTGTTTTCCTTACTAAAAAATACCCCACAAAAGGGATTCTGATCAGTTCTCTGCCATTTCCCTCCATCTGAGATAATACTTGGTATAACCACACCCCAAAACAGATGTTCTGTATTACCAGTAGAATCAAAACTTGTTTAAAGTCAAAATAAGTTTAGATCTGAAAAATCATTCCAGCTCTGCTTTTAACTATCTTGGATTTGTTAGAAAACTAATTTGAAAGTGAATATAATTTTCTTAAAATTCCATATATGTGTAGTATGAATTGTCTCTAATTGTATTCAGAAATAATTTTAACAACAGTTATGGATCTGGACCATTTTGAACATTCCCTTTTTCAAAATTCACATGGCTTCCTTTTAAAAAAGGATATAAGGGTAAATTGGTGAAAGGTTTGCTCTCGGCATTTTTCCAATTTTCTGAGTTGTGACTGAATGAGAGAGCTCTAGCGTTTACCAGTGAGGTTCATAAACTAAACTCTCAGGAATTAATTGCATCTGTTCTAGAAGTGCTTCTGGGTCTTAGCCTGGCCTCTTCAGAGTGGTAATATAGACCATCTCCTCTGGAATATATAGGTAGGGCTAATTAGAAATTAATCAAAATGATTAACCTCTACAGTCCTTCAACCTATGGAATGCTTTAAAAAAAATGTTAATGGAAAGCTCCAGGAGACCATTTTAGGTAAGATTTTTGTTTAAATTTTAAAATGCATAGAACATTAAAAAACCAGCAATTTATTTTCTAAAATATTGCTCTACTTTTGGGAATAATAGCATTGGTAATACGCACAGGTTTACCTCATTCTATGCAAGAGGGGTTAATAACGTAAGGTTTTGTAGTTGCTACTGGAAGTAAAATTTGTTACTTTATAGTGTAAGAATGTATGGAATCGCATGTCAACATTTCTTAATACTGACTCTTTTGGGGCATAAATGAAGATCATATCAACGCCAAGTTGATTCTCATGTGTCAAATATATGTGAATTCAACTGTTAAAATTACTGGATATTTATGTTATCATTACTGAGAGGGACCTACTGTAAATGTGACATTCTCACACTTCCCAAATCTTTAACTTTTAAGATTCTTCCCATGAATTTAAAGCCTAGAAGACTTCCAAAGCAAGGGTTACAACAGTCTATATTCTCAGGCTCAGTGAATCAAACCCAGGACTCTTGATTCCATGATATGGGCACAAGAAGCCAGTTGTATGGCATGCTCTGCCAATACCTTGGGCTTAGGGGCTCCATGGGGAACTGAATAAACCAGGAGGGATTTGAGTTGGAACCTGGTAATTAGTTCTGTGAAATGCTCATTTGTAGCCAGGTTTTTATAAGCTTCCAATTCAATAGCACATCCAGGCTCTAAGTGTTTTTTAATTTCCCACCCATTCATGAAGTGTTTCTTACCTTGATCGCGTGACCAACAGTTAGAGGTTGGTAAGGACTTCCTACAGTCTAAACACAATCTGAATCCCTCTTCATTGTTCAGACTCATAACTCCTACTGCTAATGAACAGAAAGGAAGTTAATGCAGAGGAGGTCTCTGTCTTAGCCATATCTCCAACTGTACAACTCAGTAGCCCCATTCTCGTTCACAGTCCAGAATATACTGCCGACCTTGGTTTTGTTTTTGGTTCTTTTTCCCTTTTGGATTATTTGGGGATCTTTGGTAGTTTAAACTCTAACCTTTTCCTTGCTGTGTATGAGGAAAGCTAAAGCTGTTATCAACTTCTTATTCTACGGATACTAACACGGGTTTTCAGTGTTTTGTTTGTTTTTATTATTATTAATTTTGCGTGATGTGAATACCCTCTCCCATCAATATTTGTATTATGGTGCTATATATTTGGTAATGATCCTTTACTAGTGGGAAGGGATTTTAAAAATACTGTGATTAAACTGGGTTTCTTCCTTTGGTTTTCATATTTTAAATAAAGCCACAGTCATTTATACAAAAGAAAAGCATCTGTCCCTGGGCAAATCTTTTGAGGACAGAGGTCAAAGTAAACTGCATAAGGTTTTTACATCATTTCTGTATGTATTTGATATATAGATCAATATCTGTACAAATTTAATCTTTTATTTTCTTGGTAACTTGTGATTATTGAGAAAGTATTTGAAACTTTCTCAAGTGTATATAATGGCGTGAAAAATTCCTTTGGAGAAATTTATGTTCCTTTCATTTTTACCAAATTGCAGATTTTCAGCATGGATGTGAAAAGCATTAAAATTATAACTTTGTGTACAAGATGAAAATAATTCACTAAATTTGCCCTTTTTTACACAAAATAAAATGTTAAAGTTAAGTTGTATTTGAGCAGTTCTTTAATATGCTTTGGTCTTTAAGGAGTTTCCATTTTTATTCAAAACATTGAGTTGGTCCTGTAAGTAATCAAAGGCCCCTGTGGAAGTCAGATTAGCTCCTTCTCACAGAACCTAGCATCTAATAAGGTGAATCAAGCACTTGAGTGAAGAAGAATTTATTACTAGCTGACAAGGGAGGAGGAGAATACAGTGGACATATGGCCCTGGTTGTTACTTGAGCCAGCATTTCACAGAGAGGGAGAAGGCAGAAACCATAGCAGGCAGAGGTAAATGTGGACTACTAGTGGGGAAATTAAAACCCTTTAGCTAGAACATAGTGTTTCAGGGTTGGCATGCTTCTTAGAGGACTTCTTTTCTTAGTTTCATTAACTTCAGCAGCCAAATTCATAGGAGGTAAATGAATTATCCCAGTTAGCTCTTGCTGTTTACATTAAGAAGGAATGCAAAGATGCCCTCCTTTACCATCAACTGACTCTTAGGAAAATTATTCATCTTTTACTGTGAAAGCAGTTCATAGACAATCTAAGGATATATGATAGTAAGAAGATGGATTGGGTCTCTTCAGGGGTCAATTTCATCACACTTAAAAATATTAACACATTCCAAGAAAAAGTAGAACCTAATTTCTGCCCTGCTTTTTACATTAAATGGATTGAATGGTTGCGCTAGTAAATTGGAATTCCTAGGTTGGCTCCCATGAACTTTGATAGCACAGCTGATCCATGAAAAACGCAGGGATAAGCACCAGGCCACACACACTTGAAAACCCACAATTTTGACCCCCAAAAAACTTGACCACTGTAATAGCCTATTGACTGAAAGCCTTACCAGTAACATAAGTTGATTAGCACATAGTTTATGTTGATACGTATTATACACTGTATTATTAAAAATAAGGCTACAGAAAAAATCTCAAATTGTCACAACTATCCAAAAATGTTCCAATATATTGAAAAAATCCATGTATAAGTGGACCTGTGCAGTTCAAACCCTTGTTGCTCAAGAATCAACTATATATATTATTTAAGCCATTACATGCCTCTTGGTAAATTAGTTTCCTAGTGCACTTTACGCCCAGAATGTTTTAAGAGTGGCAAGTCTTTCATCGAAACAAGTTAACATTTTAGCCCTGTGTTGTTTATCCAGCCTTGTGAAATAGAACAGCAAACCCATTTCCTTCTACAGATTCTTACTGAGGCTAGGGTAACCCTTTTTGGCTTTTTAAGAAATCCAAGTTTACAAGCAGGTCAAAATAGGGCTTGCCTATTGCTAGCAAGTACTTGCATGTTCAGCAAAAAAAGCTTTATTGAAAGGATAAAAGGTTCCAAATGAGCTGCCTGCTACCACACACCTAGCTGGCATAGGATCAGATCCAAAACCCCACCTTACTTCCAAGGCAGTGCGTCTGCATCTTCACCCTAGTCTGCCCTTGCTAACCACTTCCACCAAATTAAGTCCTAATGTCCATGCCCTTAATCTCAGCTCTCACCACATCAAATCTGGTTTTACTTAACCCTCCAAACTCAACTTTCTTGTGTCACTTGAGAAAATATATAAAGGCGGTAAAGCATAGTGGCCAAGAGCATGGAGTCTGAAGCCAGTTACTTGCCTTGGAACCTGACTACTTGTTTTCATAATTTGGCTCAGTTTCCTCAGTTATAAAATGGTATACTAGTACTAGCCTCCTAAGAGCTGTGAAGATTAAATGAATTCGTGTATGTAGAGTTCTTGGAACAGTCCTGGCATAGAACGAACCCTAACTGAACTGCTGCTAATCCAAGTACCTCAGCCAGTGTACATAGTGTGCATAAGGATCCCAGGGTTGGGCAAGCAGAGGGATGGGGAGAGGGGTCCCCATTCAGTCAGATCCTCAGGCCTACCCCAGTATCTAATTTTAATTGTCAAACTTCATGTTGTGAAAGTATATAGCATATATAAACATAGATTAAATTTGAAATTGAAAAATAATTTAGAATGTTAAAATTTGTCAGTTGTTGAAACTAGAATCGTGACACTTGTATCAAGCTGTCGTGTTTATGTCAATGTCTTAGAGCAGTATGTATTTTTAAAATGCAGTCTTTTATATGAAAATGGCATATAGAACTGTTTCCTAACAGAAAATAGCTATTCATAAACCATGTATTTCTGTAATCTCCACTTTTTAAGCCAGACTTCAGGTGATAGTGATATTTAAATTGAGAGGTGTTATCTGGCATTATTTTACAACTGTGCCAATTCAGCAAAAGTAACCTTAAAAACAGGCAATATTAATTTTGTAACTAGTCACTGCTTCTAGCCCAGGAACAGGCATGATTGATACGCCAGGAAAGAGTAACGAGGAGGGGAGTATGGTTGTGGGGACTACTTGTGTCCCAGCTATGGGCCAGGCACTAGGTTAACTGCTTTGTACACATTATTTCATTTAATGCTGCATTGCAGTGGTATTCTCATTTTACATGTCTTTAGGCTTCCATTTCCTCATAGTAAAATTTGCCCAATTTGTAGTCAACAAAGATGTAAATCTGTATGATTTGATTAATCTGTTTTACTCTATCTGAAGTTTCAACAAATTGTACAATCACTAAAGTGGTTGGGATATTACACTATTTCCTTATCTGTTTCCTTAGATAAACAACCAGTGCCACACTTGTCCTTTTCAGCCTCACTACTTTCCTTCCTAGCATCTGGAAGTATACCCAGCTGTGGATAAGGAACAGATCATTCTTCCATAAAAAGCAGGATTAGTCAGTTCTGGATGATGCTCTGATAATCAGGGAACCAAATCACTTCTTCCAGCTTAGTATCAAGTAAGCACAGGAGGCCGCAGCCAGTTTCCAAAGGCTTTATTGGTAAATATGCTTTAGAAAAGATCAATACTATTGCTTCCAAATCAGTGGAATGAAGAGCTGTGTCCAAGGACACATCAAGTGGAGCCAAAGGAGATTGATGCCTTGTCCACCTCTTATTCATAGATCCAATCAAAAGAACAAGACTTGTAGTCAACCAATTCTTCAGGCCTAAACCACAGGCTGATTTCTTTCTCAGCACTTTTTACTGAATCACTGCCATGAATGATGTTCCTAAGAAAGAGAACAATTCCTAGTTACCACATTTTCTGTTTAATAGATAAAGCAAAAGACAGACATTGCAGACCTTTTCAACCCAACTGCCACCTGCAGCTGGAGAGGAACCCCCAAAGTATTTCCTCTGAAAAACAACCATTAAACTGTAAAAGAATTTGACCAACAGCATCCTTTGGTTCACCTTTCTTCTTCCAAGTTCTCGATACAGTCTTGTACCCCAAGATTGCTATGCAATAAAACAATCCTCAAACTTTGAAAAATACAGGACTAGCCAGACCAAAACTCAAACTAGATGTGAAATTTTCATCATCAAGAGCCACTTTTGCTGCTGCATTTTCTTACACCAATTTTCAAAGCCCAACCAAAACATTCGTACTTATTAACAAACCCTTTATTCCATTTGAAACTTAGAACTCAAGTTCTTGTACAGATTTTGTACAGGTGAAGGGACCAAAAGGTTAAGTGCCACACCCACGGACACAGTGCCACAAAGAGCAGAACAGTGGCTGGAGCCCTTCCTTTCCCAGTGCTCCAAGCTTTCTGCTGTGTCACGCAGGACCTACCACATGCAGCTCCCTTGTGCAATGTCTTGGTTAAAATTTTAAGTGGCCTAGTGAAGTGACTATGTAAGAAATTTTTCATCCAGTGCTAATTACCACCTATTTTAAAAGTTCAAATGTTTCTAAAATTGGGATACACCAAAAATGTTTTAGGCCCCCATTTAAGTGGCACAGAGGAAAAATCATCAGCGACTTACCTGCCAACTTGAATGCAGAAGTCCCCACGAATGGTGCCAGGCTGAGAATCTGCTGGATTGGTCTCCCCAAGCATCACTCGCCCAGTCTTCACTACATTAAGCCCCTCCCAGACCTCGACAGGAGGGAAAAGGAATTGTGTCACATCTACCATTAGGAACAAACATTTAGCCCTACTGAATAGCACACATCTATCCAACCAGTGACATGATTATCAGCTAACCCCAGCAGACAGTAAGGGCCTATATAAAATACTCCATACTCCATCCCATGCATTGCGAGGAGACAGAAAAAGTCTACTGGTTGAGCCTGTGAACTAACAAGACCAGAGAATCTTTATGCAGCCACAAACACAAAGAAATAGTGATGAAAGGGCAGAGGAGAGAGATCAAACTGGAAGAAGATCATTGGGAAGAGCATCCCAGATGGCTGTTAGCACAAGAAATGTCGAAGACTGATGTGAAAGCAGAAAGTGTATTCCAGGGAAGGGCAAAAAGAACAGGTCATCCCCAGAAAACAGGAAATAGGTCTACTTTCGCACCAATTTCAGTGCCTTCCTAAAGTACCCTCTACTTCTCTTCATTCCCAACTGGACATCAATGCCACAGAAAGAAACAGACTGCTTCACTTCTAGCACACAATTACAAAGGCCAGATTCCCCTTCCTTTTTTCCCCGCAAGCTCCTAGTTTCTCTGTGAAGTGTGTTTCTCTGTCTGTTACTAGCAGGTTCCATTTGTAAAACACAGAATTTGGAGATGGGAGGATGTCTAAGAAAGGGATATGCAGGCAATGAGCAAGTCTTGTTACAGATCAGCCCTTATTGGCCTTGGTTCCCCCTTATTCCCAGCAAGCACTTACCATGGCCACAACGGGCCCTGAGTTCATGTACTTCACCAGCCCAGGGAAGAATGGGCGCTCTTTCAGGTCCATGTAGTGCTGCCGCAGGAGTTCCTCAGAGGCCTGGCATTGAAGAGGAGGTACCAGTTAGGAAGTACACTGCAAAGACTCAAATATGGCTCCATTCCATCCTTGGGACCCACATTAACATGGCAGGTTCTCTGAAAGTCGGGTTACCTATTTCAGTCCACATTCATAAGGTGTATATAAAAAAAAAAAATCCAAACCATGAAACTGATGTTATTTTAGTTATTTTAGCAAAAAGATTGTTCTGATCATGAAGACACCTTCTTAATATCAACGATGTTATGGGTGCTATAATCCTAATAAATAGATGGTTTGAGGATCTAGATTTAGATAGTGTTGGCTGCAAGTGAAAGAAATATGCCATAGAGGTCACATAAAAGTCCTCTCGCCCATTTACAACGCCCTTTTAAACATTTCTGATGTTAACTGAGAACGTTGTCCTTCTCACTGATGAGTCGGTTAAGTTTCAGTAGTTATTTATTACTTGAGGTCCAGATCTGTGCCGCAAATATTACGTGGAAAATACTGTTAGCTGGCCTCCAAAGGGAGTCTGCAGAGAACTGCAGAGGAAAGGACCCCTTACTGAAACCTCAATCATCTCAGAGCTGCAAGCTGAGCACTAAAGGATTCCAAGCCTTCGTTTCGGGCCTGTGCAGACGCCGCGAGGGCCGGGGCAGGGGCCTGGAGGGCGGACGTCCTTCATTCCCTGCTGCCCCGCGGCGACGGCGGGGCAGGTGGCAGCCTTGGGTCCCACGCAGCCGCGGGCAGGCGGCCAGCCCCAGGGCAGGAGTCACGTTACCTCCGCTTAAGGCCGTCTGTCCTCCGGGCAAGGAAAAGGTCAGCGGGCCTGAGCGCACCGGGGAGAAGGCACAGGGCAAAGGGGTTCGCGCAGGGACGAAATAGCAAAGCAGGGCTCCGAGTCGTTAAAGACCCGAGGATGAGCGGCTGCCAGGCCGGAAAATCCCCGCGGGGCTGCCAGGCCAGAAAATCCCCGCGGACCGTGCTGCTGCGGCGGAAGGGGGCAGGTCGCGCGTTACCCGAAGGAACTTCATGGCCACGAGGCGGAATCCCTTCTGCTCGAAGCGCTTGATGATCTCCCCCACCAGGCTGCGCTGCACGCCGTCCGGCTTGATGGCGATGAAGGTGCGCTCCATGCGGGCTGCGGTCCTGCGGGCGGGAGGGCCGGTCAGCGCCCGGCTGGCGCGCCGACAGAAGCCGCGCTGGTCCCGGAACGCCTCCCGGAGCCCACGGGGGCGCCCGCCGGCCGCACCCGCACCTCCCCGCCCCGAGGCTCGCCGGCCCTCACCGCGCGCCGCCCCGCGGGGACACGTGGCTTCCCGGGCGCCGCCGCCCGTCGGCAGTGCCCAAATGCCCGCAGAGGGGACGCGGCAGGAGTCTCGGGGCAGCGCTGGGCCTGCGGACCGCGAGGGCGCGTGCAGACGGGGCCGGGCCGGTGCGGGGGCCCGAGGCGGGGCAGGAGGAGGTGCCCGCCGCCTTACCGGGAAGCGGGCGGGCGGGCGGCGGCGGAGCTGCGCGGCGGGGCCGGAGCCGAGACCTGGAACGACCACCGGAGCCGGAGACACCCGTGGAGGAGGGGCGCGCGGCGGCCACACCCCTGGACGCCAGGCGCCCAACCCGCGAGGCCGGACGCAGCCCGGGGACTCTGTCCACGCCCCGGCCCGCGGAGGAAACGAGTGGGGGCTCCTAGGGCAGGAAGTGGCCCCTTGACCGCCTGGTTGTGCCACGAGTAGAGCTATGCACCTCCCAGTTGAGCTCCGTTCTGCAGCGCCCTATCGCACACACACGGAGGGAAACCTGCTGCTGCTCTTCATCCCCGCCGCACATCTGCTTTCACCATCCACAAGAGCGCAGTTAAGCTTTCTTTCCTCCCCCTCCTGCACCCACAAGTCCTTATCCTTCCTGCCTGCGAAATCCAGTTTTCCCTTCCCTCTGCTTGAGACCTAATTCAAGCCCTCCAACTCCCTCATCCAAACTGGCAACTTTCCAACGCCTCAACCTCACCTCTTCCCGCACGGAGCTTCCCCAGCGCCCTCCAAACACATCTGACTGTCCTGCTTTGATGACAGGGCCCTGCCTTCGGACGGCATTCCATGCCTTAGCGAGACATCCGTGCTTCCACGGTGTACCCTGTGCGCTCCTGCCTGTCTCCCCACTGCACTACCTTTCCAGCTCCAATTAGCTGTCCTGTTCCCACCCTGAGATGCACGATTGTGCAGTCAGTTTATCCAGTTCAGCCAGAGACACAGCCTTAACAAAATTCTAGAATCTCCTAGAGATCAGGGGTCCTCTGTTTGCAGACAATTCCCACCTCCTCTCCCCACCCTTTGCTAGTGCCCCTCTCCATGGGGGAGTCAGTGAGCTCCTCTTCTCAGCACTGAGACCTGCCCAGCCGTGCTTATGCTCAAATGGTCAGAGCAAGTGTCCACCTCTCTTCAGAAGGTGAACCGACCAACGCAATCATGCATCATCACCCTAGTGTCCCTAGTACTGCAGTGAAACCTGCTTGATGATAATCCAGCCCTCTATTGCACCTCGTTGGCCTTTCCAAAATTCAAATTGCAAAGCATTAATCCAGTGCTCATTCTGGATCGGGGACACAGAATGTTCCTTTTGGCCTCAAGCTGAAGCACCCTCTTATTTGGGCTTCCTTTAAAGAATTACCAAATGTCACTCTGAAATTCTGGCAGTTTCACTGCCCCTTTCTCTGGAGGGTTGTCTGCCCCTGGTCCAGTCACTAACCCCTCCTTGTGGTGCAGTCTACCACCTTTCACCTCTCCTTTCCTTCCTGGGAACGCTGCCCTTCCCTGGGGAAGGTATAACCCTCCTGCCTCACTACACACATATTCATTTCCCTGAAGTCCTGGTACTCTACCCCCTAAAACAAACAGGCCACGCTTTGTGTGAAAAAAATGCATTCAGTTTTCAGCTGCCCCCAAAAAAGATACTTCCCCCAGTGCGGAGAACCTTCCACGATGTATATAGTACATCAAATCATCGTGTCTTACAATTTTGTTTAGGATACCTCAATAAAGCTGAAAACAAATGGCAGCCCCATCTCAACTCCCCTCGCCACCTCCTCCTGGGAAGTCCTTTCCCTTCTATTGCCTCTACCAAAGCCAGGTGAACAGGGAAGAATACCAAGAAAGAAAACCCAAAGTTTGTGGCAAAAACCAACAATTGTCCTCCAATACCAGTTCAAACTTTCTCCCTTCTCCTATCTGGGCACAAGTTTGCCCATAGATAACATTTTCTAGTTTCTCTTGCAGCCAAATAGAAATACATGCCTAAGTTCTGGCCACTGAGAAGTGGAGGGACCTGAAGGACATAACTTCAGGGTTGTACCCTTAAGAGAAAGGGATCACCTTCCAACTCCCTTCCCAACATGCCAGGAGTGGTAATCCATCTTGGATCGGTTAGAAGGAACTGATTCCCTGAACCACAAGGATCCGAGCCTTACCATCATCACAACCCTTACTTTCCTGCTTTGACTGTTTTTTTCAGTACTGAGGATTATAATTGACCAATAAAATTTGCTTGTACTACGTTTAGAACTTGATTTTGATAAGCATGTATATTGGGAAAAGATCACCAAATCAAGCTAATTAACGAGTCTATTGCTTCACATAGTTCACAACTTTTCTTTTTTTGGCAGTGGAGGTGGAGTTATCAACACTTATCTCTACATTCTCTGCCAATTTCAAGTATAGAATACACTGTTGTTAACTATAGTCACTGTAGTGTTAGATCTCCAGCTTGAACTTTCATTAAATAGGAGTAAATTTCCATCTTGTGTTTGTTAAAGCAACCAAATCAATATCCTAACAAATTACAGCTACTTACAAGATTTCTCTTGCTTCTTTTGAAACCCCCTAGGACCCAGGCCCATCATCCACATAGCTTTTCTATTTTGGGATAATTACAACTTCTCCCACTCTCCCACCCATTGAGTCCCTGAGAACTTCTCAAGAGCCAAAAGGATACCTTTTATTACCCATGAAGCCTCTGTGCCTGTGCAGTCTTGGCAACCTAGCATATACTTGATAGATGCCTGCTGACTGGCTCAGTGCCACGAGTGGATGGGATGCAGGGGAGAAGACAGGGACAGGCAAAGGTGTGTGTGTGTGTGTGTGACCCCTCAAGCCAATAAAAACATAAAATATTTACACTCTCTATTACCTCAGGTTATCAGAGTATATGAAAAAGAAAAAAATACACAAAGTAACCAACTCAATGAATCCTATGTTGGGATGAAACATTTTAATCTGATGGTAGCACATAACACTGTACAGGGAGCACTCACAGCTCCAAAAGTTGCCCTCCAGGTTATGAGGAAGTTCTCAGAAATAACTAAACTTGTTGTATCCTGTCCCTGTCCCTCCCTGTCTCTGGGAATGGAGGACAGGGAGCAGGAAATGCGCGGTGGGAAGCCTCCGTGTCACTCATAGATCCAGCTCTGCGCACAGCTCCTGTAATCTACCAGCTCCTCGGGGCGAAACCACAAGCCAATCTCCTTCTCCGCACTCTCCACAGAATCACTGCCATGGATAATGTTCCTGGAAGGGGAAAGAGACGACCCCATTACCAAGACTAGGATTCAACTGCCCTCTGAGAAACACCCATGGTTCCTCTGCTAGAGAGCCACTGCCGCAGAAAAAGACAAAGCTCCACACAGATCAGTCTGTGACAAAAGAGAACACCTATGCCTTCCGTGAATGTACGGCTGAAGAACACCCTGCCCACAGCCAACCCTCCTAGTAGTAGTGATAACAAGCAGTGAGACCAGCAAGAACTCTGCCAGCCAAGTGTGTTGGACTAGGTTCTACTCTCTCAAGAGAGGCAAAACCACAATTGTAGTGACCAAAGAGGGAGAAAAACAATGAACTCTGATTTTTAAATTGATCTGCATAGGGTATCATGTCCATCTCCAGCCTCCAGAACCCAAATTCTTGTGGCACCTAACTCAGTTTTCGAAAAGGGTAAAAAGCACCAACTCCCACCTGCCAACTTGGATGCAAAAGTCCCCACGGATGGTCCCAGGCTTGGAGTCTGCAGGATTGGTCTCTCCGAGCATCACTCGGCCTGTCTTCACAACGTTCAGCCCTTCCCAGACCTCCAAGGACAAAAGAAAACATGGTCAAGGAAGAAAACTAATCTCAGAAGAAAATCTGAAAACAAGGAATTCAGAAAAAGAAAAAGCCCTCTTCAGGGGGTATATGATAACATTCATTCCCTGAATAAACACTGGGAATACTGGTCTCCCTGCCCCCACTTGTGCTTTCTACAATCCATTCTTGACACTGAAGCCAGAGTGGCCCTTTGAAAATACCCAGTGTAAGACCTTCCATAGCTTCCCAACACTCAAGAAGTACAGGGCCAACACAGCCCTACCTGATCTGGCCCCTCCCCAAGCCTCTGAACTCATCTCCAGCAACCTTCTCTTTCACCCACTAGGCTTCATACACTACAACCTTCTTCTTGTACTTCAATAAGTCCCCACTCCCGGTCCTTTGCACATGTGATTTTCTTGGTTGATAATACTCTTCATTGTGATTTTGTGCATGGCTGGCTCCTTCTTCTCATTCAGATCTCAGCTTGAAAATCATGTTTCTTGACCACCCAAACCAAAGTGGCCACTTGCTATTATACCATTCTATTTCATTTCTGGGTATATCACTAAGCATTAACTGATATATATATATAGTTTGGTTTCTTTATGTTCTGCCCATTTTTCCCTTTCAAGATGTGTAGGCAAGGAAAGCTACGATGAAAGAAGGTACCTATTTTGTCTAATTCATGACTATATCCCCAATGTCCAGAAAAGAGCCTGGCACAATGATGACAACCACTCCGTATTTGGAGAAGAATTATTGCAGTAAGCCAGTGACAATCTCCCTGCCCTCCAAAAGCTTCCAGTCAGGAAGACCTCTCCCAGTTTCTCCCAGCTATCAATCTTCAGCAGAAAAATTTATCTTGTCTTTGGCTGGTCAGAGCACCAAGTCAGATCATAACTGTCCAATCCTCACAGCCCCAGGTTCCTCTGCATTGGTGAGGACTAGCAGCAGAGGCAGGAACCACAGCACTCACCCTGGGGACTCATTCACATCAACATCCCACACATACACACTCACCATGGCAACCACTGGCCCTGCGTGCATGTATTTCACCAGGCCGGCAAAGAATGGACGGTCCTTCAGGTCAATGTAGTGTTGCTTCAGGAGGTCTTCAGAAGCCTATTCAATGGGACAGAGAATGAGAATTGGTCCCAAAACTATCTAAGAACCAGCAATCTCATTATTTCCCACTCAACCGTCCTGCTGTTTAAAACGTGAGCTCTTAGCTTACTGATTCTGTAATAACCCAATTTATTCTCAACACTGCCAGGAGGGAGCAGTGACAGGCACTTAAAAGAGCTTCAGCTTTGTACCAATTTCCTCTCTATTGGCTTTGGCTGAGCAGAGTAAAACCATAGAACATTAGGACTGGACCTAGACAGGGAAACTAACAATACAATAAATTTCCATTCCCAGAGCAAGCCTCATCTAAAATGTTAGAGGGAAGTGAGAGAGGTGGTCTTGTCATTCCATGATAAGCAAACTGAACCAGGGCATTCCCAGGGCCTTCACATTTAGTCAGAAGGTAAAGGTTCAGTGTGGTGACCATGTGATTTCCCACCGGCATTTACAAACCACCCAAAAGTACATTACATCTAGCAATAAATAATTTTGCTGAGAATGAGTTAGAATCTTTCCTATTGCAAGGCTGGCGTACAGCAACAAGTCAAATGAGCTAAAGAGCAAACTGCCTGCTCAGCAATTCTAACTCCCTCAGCTGTGTCCTATGCCACTGCAAACACCCTTGGTGCAAGTCTAACAAGGACACTTTGTTTTACCACTTCTGTAGTACTGCACTGTATAAGCATATTGCACACTTCAGTAATACACATAAGGGGGGAGATTTGCTGCCAAAAAGCACACCTAGAACATCTTATCCTTTGGCCCCAGGTTGACTGTCACTTCCCAAAGTAAGACTACAAGCCATGTGATCACTCCAGGTTAGCAATCCACCCTCACCCCATTTCTTTCAATCCAAATGGAAAACATGTAGAAGTCGTCTCCTAACACACTGACTGGACTTTCCCTTACCAGAACCTTCTTCACTCTATTAATGGGTTCTGATTATCTTTAATCTGCAAAACAGATCACAGACCTCCAGCTTTCCCCTCACCTCTCTCCTCCACACCAGAGTTAAATAACCCTGTAGCCTCATGGCTGCTATCCCTCCTCCCATTCTTCACCAAGCCCACATCCTTAATAGGAACTCAGTGGAAAGGCAAAAATGTACACACTTAGGGTGAAAATCCCAGCTGCCTGACTGTGTGCCTTCAGGCACATTACTTAACCTCTCTAAGCCTCAGAGTCCTCGTCAGGGACAACCACAGGAACAGGATTAAGTACCTTTCTGGGTTGTCATGAGGGCTAGATGAGAAAACACATGTGCCCAGCACATAGTAGATGCCTAGTCAACTAGTCTTTCCCTTTGCTTTGCCTTTAAAACCCAATGTAACATACAAAGTCTCTGGAAAGTATTGTTTGTCCAACACCTGGCTCTAACCATTCTATCACGTTCTCCCATTGCTGTTAATATCACTCTATGTCTTTTTGTATTAAAGGATTTTTTCTAAAACATCACATAGGAGCTAAATTACAAATCAAACTAAACTTAAAATGCACCAGGAGAGTCCAAAGTTAACTCTTTCAACAGGAAAAAAAGATTTTCCACTAATTTATTGACTTTGAGAATTTGAATTCTCATTTCCCAGGTCTGTTTGAAGAAGGGCTCTTGGCCAGTTGATCCTTGCATTTTTTAAAATATCACTTTGTAGGTGTCTTGAAAGTGTATCTGCTCTTTGATGTTTCAAGTGGGCCCCCAAAGAGCAAAATGACATTTTTCCCCCCACACATCTCAGTAGTGCCCAAAATATCCTAGACAGTAAGGGGATGGTAAATAATGATGAATGAGCTCTTTGCTGAAAAAAACCTCCCTCAAAGTGGAGGTGGCAGGAAATTATTTGCTCAGGAAGCTCAAGACCAAGAGTTCAAACATTCCCAGGGCTTTGAGTCAGAAATCACAGTGCTGTATTTAATATGTGAATAACTCTACATTACTCAGGTAAAAGGGAGGCTATTTTTGAAAGTCCTAAATAACTTATTTGTTCCAAGACTCTGCCACAATGCTAGACCAATCAAGGAGCTTCCAGGTTTCAGGGCATTTGTGTTCACCTGCATGAAGAAGTCTGAAAAAGGGGAGAGGAGAAACATAGAAGCCAACCCACTACATTCCCCTGTAATATGAAAACAAGTAGGAAGACTTAAGTCAACTTACGTGCATCAATTTCATAGCAACAAGGCGGAACCCCTTCTGCTCAAAACGCTTGATGATCACTCCCACAAGGCTGCGCTGGACCCCATCAGGCTTGATGGCAATAAAGGTGCGCTCACTGTTGGCCATGGTCCTGGGGACAGTCAGGTAGCAGGACGAAAAACAGCACTGAGAATCCTGCCTACATCATTATCCTTCTCAAGCGGATTATTCCAGAAAGCTGGCATAAACCTGTGAAGTCTTTCATAATGTATATATGACTGTCAAATCACTTACACCTGAAACTAACGTATTGTATATCAATTATACTTTAATTTTTTTTTAAATCTTCATGGAATAAAAAGATCACTTTTTTTGTGATAAATAAATAAATCTGTCATGATGACTCCAAGTCTCTCTAGTCAAAACACAATTCCTCCTCAGGCTGTTCATCTATGAACTAATATCCATCATCTATGAACTAATAAGGGCCCAAAAGCAAGGGCTATAATTTCTATCCCATTTCCTTTAATAAGCTTCTACTAAGCATCTACTGTGTACCCAATACTGTGGCAGAAGTAGGGGATGCAAAAAAAAAAAAAGACATTATCTTTCTCAATTACCCATACGCTGGAAACTACACGGATAATGTGAAAGTGATGTCTGATACAACGCAGTATGAAAGACGATTTGACCTACTGCCACAATCATGGTATTAGAATTGAAGGGGTTTTAGAGATTATTTCATTATAATCCTCTTCATTTTACAAATGAGGAAAAAAATCCAGAGCACAAGAATGAGGATTAATATCCGTATTTCCCAATTCTATGCAATTTATGCTACATCATAAGATGTAATGAATATTCTGACTGATCGATAAATGGTGGACTGCGGGACAACCAGAGCCATTAGTAATATCTGATATGACACATCACGCTGGAAGGCAGCCTAGCGAGTGTCTATTTCAGACCCTTCCTTTTATACAGAGAAGATTGGGCTTATGACCTGCTCTGTCTCCACAAGAGGAGAAAGGAGGAGGACCCTCACCTTGCATCCTCCTGTGCAAGTTAACCTCTTATAGCACCTTAACAACATATTTGAATTCTGCGTTTGTGTGTGTCTCTCCACTGGTCTGCAGCCAGCATACATGGTCAGCTGCCTCCTATGTCCGTCTTTGGTACCTAGCCACAGGGACTAGCACTCAAGAGCAAAGATGTCTTAAATGATAATCGCCCTGACCTCCAAGAAAAAGAGACAAAGCCCAAGGACTGGTGGAGAAATCCCGATGGAAGATCGAGATAAGCATCGATTCCCTAGGGGGGATAAATGGGACTAAAGAGCCACGAATAGTCCCTATAAATGTCCTCCACACCCACCCTGAGACGCACACCTGTCATTCATTCAGCAAACGCTTGCTGAGTGCCAGCTCTGTGCCCAGTACGGCACTCAACAGAGACAAATAAGGCACAACCCCTGATGTAGAGACCTGATGGGAAGGCGACAAAGGCGAGTCCACGCGGCATGAGACCTGCGCTGCCTGGTTTGCACCTATCCACAGGCGCTCCCCCCACCTCCCTTCGCATCCGATCCCCCTCGCCATCTCAGAGAAACTCATCTGACCTCTTCACCTCCCTCCTCCCCCGGACCCACCCTTTCCTTGAGGAACCCCGAACCCTTCTCACCCTTCCAGCTGCTTAAGCTTCAACTCCGCCTGCTGCTGCCGGCACCGGAAACGCGCCTGGGCCCCACGTGGCTCCCGGCACTCGCACGCGCGGAACACTTCTGCGACGCTCAGCTACCGGAGGGCCCATTTGGCAGAACACCACTCGCCCACGCTTCCTCCAGAGTCGGGTGTTATTCCAGGGAGCAACTTCCCGCTGTTCAAATTCCGGCACTACTTTTTCAGGCTCTTCCGGCAGGCTGCCTTCCCCGCCACCCCACCCGCCGAGGTTCTGTGACTTACTTCCTTCGTTCTCAAGTAAATGAGCTTCCCAAGAGATGGCGCTCACACTTTGCATGAAGTCTCAGCGAACGCCTAGGGGTAGACACGTCTCGCTCGCTTTATTTACTCAGTCTTTCCAGCTTGTCAAGCAGTAAATTATTTATTGAGTACTTCCTGTGTGCCAGGCACTGGCCCAGATCCTGGCGGTGTAGCAAGTAAGCTCTCTCGGAGTTTCTGGTTGGTGGGAGTGGGGCAAACAATCAAGTGAGCAATTAATATGTAATGTATCGCATCATGTAAGTGCTGTTAATAAAGAGCAAGGGGAAAGATTGAAAAAGTAAACTACTATAAAAGGTATGGTTGGGAAAATCTGTCAGGAAGTGACAATAAAATGGACCGGGGTGAAGTGAGGGGGCAAGTCCACTGATTATCTGAGGGCCGAGTATTACTGTGTGAATCAAGTGATAGTAAAGGTCTTTAGGGAGGATGTGGGAAGCCGCATATCCAACATGCGTAAAAAATCATTCTGACTGCTGTTAGGAGGACTAAATGGGGCTAAGATACAAAGTGGAAATCAGGAGCCTTTTCTACAAATGGTTTTGGAGGAACTGGACATTTACAGGCAAAAAATAAAATTAAATTAAACAAACCTCCTACCTTAAATAAAAATTCAGTCAAAATGGATAATAGATTTAACTATAAAACGGAAAACTATAAAACGTTTAGAAAAAAAAAGTCCTAAGGACCAAGAGCTAGGCAGTTTTTAGGCTTGCAACCAAAAGCACAATCCATAAAAGACTAAAGTTGATAAATTGGACTTTATTGAAATCAAAAATTTTTTGCTCCTTGAAAGACACAGAGAAGAGAATTGAAAAACAGGCTGCAGGGTAAGAGAAAATCTTTGGAAACCATATATCCAACATAAGCCTTGTATCTAAAATACATAAAGAATTCTCACAACTCAACAGTTACAAAAAAAAATCCAACTAGAAAATGAGCAAAGACAAGAATAGACATTTCACCAGACAGGCTATACAGATGGCAAATAAACACATGAAAGGATGCTCAACATCATTAGCTTTAGGAAAATGCAAATTAAAACCACAATGAGATAATCCCTACACACTGGTCATTAATGGATAAAATAAAAAATAGTGACAATACCAAATGCTGTCGAGGAGGTGGAAAAACTAGATCCACTCATACACTGCTGGTGAGAATGTAAAACGATACACCCATTCAGGGATTTTGGCAGTTTCTTATAAAACTAAACATGTGCTTAGCATATTGTTGCCAGGCAGCTGTGTCTGGGGAGGTCTATCCCTGCACACTAAGTGGAACCTCAACCAGATGGGGGTACATTCTAACTCTGATCAAGAAAGAATTCACTAACTGGTCAGAGGAGTGTATAGGCAAGGAAAGAATTCATTAAAACAAGAGTAGAAGTGGATGGCAGCAGCTGTGCAGGCAGTAGAGAGCAAGGAAGAGCAGAGGGAGGAAAGGAAAGTCTATTGAACTCTTGCTCCACATAGGGCATCCAGTGTCTGCTTAAATCTGCATGGCATGGAAACTAAGCCCCTACAACCCCAGAATTTGAGGGAGCTGCAGAGCACTGGATGGAGTCAGATGTTCTGAGAACTTCCCCAAAGCAAAGAAAGGAGATTTTTCAGGCAGGCTACTAAAGAGCATCATTCTACAGCTACAGTTCCTGTTAGGGTCACATAGGTGATGGCAACTTGAAAGCCCACATCAGAAATCCTTGTAGCCCTTCCCTGCTTGTCTGAAGTAGAACAGAGAAAGTGAAGACTTGTGCTTAAGTCTAGAAAATTGAAATAACAAAGTAACAAAACACCACTGGGAAAAGGGGTCTCTTAACAACCTCCCAAGAGGCATGGGAGAACACAGAGACAGACAAAATGCAATTAAGTTGAGCAGCAAGAAGTCTTTACTTAAGGCAAAGTACACACTCGAAGAAAAAGGTGGTACAGGCAGGCTCAGATAGGAGAGCACTTAAAGCTTAGGATTTGTGTCTTTTAAGGATTTGAAGAATGGGGCAAAGGGCCCAGGCATGGTCGGGGGAGGGACGTAGGCTTGACATGTGGACTCACAATGTCTACTCTGGTGAGAGACATTATGTCACCATCCATAGTCAGTCCTCTAGATATTCTGTAAGATAAACTTAACACAAAGAATTTATTGATTCTATTCTTCTCTAAGGTAGTGGTGACCCTCAAGCTGTGGGGACACACCATTTAGGACTGTTTGCCCAGCCCCAAGATAGATAGGGTTGGTTGCTGGCTAAATATCATAAAGTATGTTAGGAATATTACCTCCTAACTCCCTGCTTTTTAAAGTGGAATCTTAGCCTTAAGATGGAGTCCCTCCTGTTCTTACTATACTATTTATATCTTGGCATTTTTTATCATAGGCAGGAAAAATTAATCATGATGCTTGTCCCATGTCCCTGCTCTACCTCAGCATGACCCAGCAACTGCACTGTTGGGTGTTTATTCCTAAGAAATTAAGACTTCTGTTCACACAAAAACTTGTTCACAAATATTCATGCTAGCTTTATTTCTAGCCAAAACTGGAAATTATCCAAATGTTCATCAGGTGAATGCTTAAACTATGGTCCTTTCGTACCATGGAAGATTACGCAACATAAAAAAAATAAAAGAACTGATACATATGCAGCAACTTCGCTAAATCCCAAGGGAATTATGCTGAGTGAAAAAAGCCAATCGCAAAAAGTTACATGCTGTATTATTACATTTATACAACATTATTGAAATAACAAAAATAAAAAAACGAAGTTTAATTACATACATATCGGGGAAGCCATAGACATGGGTTCCAAAGACAGGGACAATGAGTATATTTGTTTTCCTGAACCAGGGAGAAGGGGTAGGTATATGAGACTTCAAAGGAAAAGGGAAGTAATTCACAGGAAAATGAAGAGAGTAAATGTTTGATAAACAAGACATTTGATGGGCCACACAGAAACAGCGAGACAGACAGGAATTTTAACAGACGTAGCCTCATCCCTCCCTGTCTACCACACCTGGCTCACATTATAATACAGCCCTCTGTGGTGATAGCTCTCCTCCGGGAGTAGCTCCTCCATCTAAATTCTTCTGGTACATTGTGGGGTGGGGGATGGTATTGATGCCGGGGTTCTTGTTTGCGGAGCCAAAGAATGAGCTTTACAAACAGCCAAGGTAGGAGAGCAAGGTACAGGCTTTTATTTAGAGATAAAGTGAAGGGACAGAGCTCCCGGCTCACGCCAGGAGGGGACAAGAGAGTCCGTAGTGGTGCGTTGTCTAGGGGGTTTTATAGGCAGTTGAGGATTTTTCGAAAACATGAGAAAATCTAGGGGTGGGGACTTGTTAAGTGGTCCCTGAACATTAAAAATTAACTGTAAGGAATTTCCTGCTTTGATTTCTCTCTGGGACACCGGCGCCTTAGTCTGGGAGCGTATTAAAAGGCTGCCTGCCCAGCCCCCAAGTTGGGCTGAGGTATTGTCTATTTGCTAAAGAATCTTGCCTCTTGAACTTCCTGGGTGTTAAATGCAATCTTATCTTTAAGATGGAATTCTTCCTGCCTTTTACCATGCCGTCTACAGCTGGGTCTGCAGGCTAAGTTAGTTGCTCAGTTTGCAAAATCACTTCATCAGATCTGAAGGAGAAAGACAGCACATAGGCCTGGGCCTTTTAGCATGCTAAAGAAACCTTACACATGATTATAAATGGTTAGCATAATAAAACATGTGCTACTCTACTTTATCTGGGGAACATTAACTGATTTTACTGAAGAATGATTCTAGAGCTCAATGTTTAACATAGAGTTTTAGCAGGGGGGTTTCCTTGTATGTAGTTACATTGCTCTCCCTGCCCCCTCCAGAGACCCTCACCCTACTCTGACTACATCTGTGGTCCCTGTCTCAGTATCAAAGTATCTTCCTGAGTCTTTTGGGACTTGATGGTTTTCAGTTCAAAATAATTTGCATGTCACAATGGCACATCTTGGGGTGGCCTCCCCTTGGTCCCTACAGGGCTACTGTGCTAGTGCTTCTAAATCCTCTATGTGCAAATGAATCACCTGGGGATTTGTTAAAACAAAAATTCTGGGTCAGTAGGTCTGGGATGGAGTCTGAGAGTTCAATGATTCTAATGCTGTTGATTGATAGACTCTACAAGACCATGTTCTAGAGCCAGGTTATTTTAAATTGATGATTTAAGCTTTAGTAGTTCGGGAGGGTCTTGCCCAGGTAGATGCTGGAGAGGGAGTGTGGGTATTAGAAATGAGGAAGGTATCATCTCTTCCTGGAAACTATCCTAATTATATGACTCACCCTAACCTTCCTTTCTCAACCCTACACACAACCTTTCAGGTTTCCACAGGTAAATGTTTCTGCAAACCAAATCAGAAAACAGTAAGAATTTAAAACTAAAAGTAATCTTAATGAGCATATAGACCAGTCCCCTCTCTAGAAACCCTAGCAAGAAGTGTCAGTTTCTGAGTTTCTGTTCGAAACCTCCAAGAATGGGAATTCATTACCTCAGACACCCTCCCCTTGGTTAAAAAAAAAAGCTCTGTGCTAATTGAATATTTACCCCCCAACATAATATAGGAGTAATGTTTAATGAACTGCACTAATGATATCAACTGTTGTGGTGAGAGAACTGGTTCTTGGGCTGCCTTGATAGCATAGGGGAAGATTTTAGAAAGGAGTTAGGATCTGAATACACAGAAAGAAGATTGTACATAGGTAAGTCTGTAGATGTTGAGAGATCAGAAAAATAACAAAAGCAAAGGATGCAAGCAGGGAAAAGCAGAAATGTCTAATAAAATGATTAGACACTCCCAACAGAGTGCTAT